ATTTGGCTTGGAGTGGACAGCAGCATGATTCCTACAGCGTTAATAAATGCTTATTTCCCACACCTATACATTCATATTATTATTGCTAGTTGGCAATTGAAATGACTGTCAGTAATGTAGAACGAGTGATGTACTTCACCAACACAACCGTTAAAACACACTCAGAAAAAAAAAGGTTTTTAAAGCATGGCAAATGTAATAGCATATTTTCACATAGGGTATAGTGTGGAAAAGTGGGAAGTATGCTTACATTTTAATAATAATAATAATAATAATAATAATAATAATAATAATAATAATTCACCTTATTCCAAACAATTTGTGATACACTTTGGAATTCTCAGCGTAATATATATTGCAATAACAACAAAGTATATTTATATATATATACACATACTCCTTTATAACATTTCGAATTGCGTTATCATAAAAATTTAAGTAATGTGAGGAATATTAATAAAGAGAACATTTTGCATTGTAAGTTAAATTATTGAAATGAGATTTTTAACTGTCACAAAGTTGATGTATGATTTCTGTCCCAACACTTTTTTCCTCACATACATAATACAGTTGAACTCTTATACTTAGCTGTACGAGCATACAGTCTTATGTAGTTAGTTTCTCCTTGTCCCCCCTGACGAGATACATGGAGAGAGAGAGCTGTGAATGAAGTGGATGCTCACTGTCAGTTAAAATTTCTGTAGCTAGTAGCTTGCAGGAATTTGTATGTCTATCAGTTGAGTCAGAGACACACGACTCGCCCTGTTGACGGCCTTCAAAGCTCCACACAACCTAACATTAACATAGTCCGTTGTTAGGAGACCAGGAAAGAATAATGGGGAACAATGAAGAGAAGTAGATAAAATGCAGGAATTAATAAATTGTAAAAGAAGCAGTTGAGTTATATACCAGAAAGCCTCTGTTTCTTTATGTAATAAGTTGAACGGAAGATTTTTTTACAAGTCAATAAAATATGGGACGACCAACAAAGGTCAGAAGTGAAACCCAACCCAAGATAGTTCACACTCGATTTACCTACTCTCTGCAAAAATACCATCAATGCAGTAGGCGTCATGAGATTTAAGCAGCTCACATAAGTCTTGTTTACACCTGAGGCCAAAATTAACAGTCTGAAATTCAGAGGGGTTTAGTTTGAGGCCATTTGAGAGAGACCATTTACCAACTTCAGACAAGAATTCATTTGATTTCGAGCAGTTCAAAGAAGAGTTGACTGGAATAGAAATCGTCAGGTCGTCAGCATACTTGATAAAGTTAGTTTCAACAGAATAAGGTGAATCGTGCAAAAGAAACGAAAACAGAAAAGGAGGAAGTACAGCACCTTGAGACACACGAGCTGCAGTAAGGAATGAAGTCGAGTGCATCCCTTTATGGATAGTGTATTGTCTCCTTTCAGAAAAATAAGAATACAACCACTTTGTAACCGATTGCTCAGTATGAGCAATGGCAAGTTTATTCAACAAGAGTGGTCTAAGAACACAGTCAAGTGGTGATGAGTAATCCAACAAGGCACAACGAACATCCTTAACACCTTTGTTGAGAGTAGAAACAATATGATGATGCAAGACAGTGGCTGCATCTAAACTACTCCTCCGGTGTTTCTAAGTTAACTGTCTTGGATCTCTGGAAACCACCAATGAAGGCTCAATCACAAGGAGAAGTAGTTTCTCCATTGTCTCCACAAAAGGGGAAGTTATGGCGATGGGTCGAAAAGTAACATCTGATCCAGAAGATGGCTTAGGCACACGTACAATTTTTATCTACTTCCAAGCAGTGGGTATTACGTTTTTAGAGAACAATAAACTGAAGATATCTGTAAGTGGATGACATAAAATGTCTGCACATTTTCTAAATATGATACTAGAAACACCATCAGGAATTAAGCTTTGGGAGGGATTCAAAGACACCAAACATTTAAATACATCATTTGTATTGAAACCTGGAAAGCAGCTATCCACTTGATTTTGGACGTTACGAAGGGTGAAATTAACTTGCCGACGTATAAATGACTTTTTTAACGCACAGACATCCAAATGAGTTTCTTTTGTCATCTGCTTTTACCAGAAAGCTCTTTAAGTCATTTCCATATATTGGTAGAGTTCTTCTGGTTGTATATAGTATTCAGACGTTGTATCTCAGACTTAATTAGGCAGTCAGTTCTTTAAACGCCAGGGTGATCTCTCGCCTTATACAACCTTTCTTCTTCTCTCCGAAGCCTCTTGAGATGAAGAGAGGAAAGTCGGTCAAATCTCATGTAAATTGTTTCAGCAGGGCAGCAGATATCAAGACAGAACCTGAGATAGCTTGTGATATTGGTAATAGTGTTGTCTAAAACTTCATCAGCAAATATATCCCAGTCCGTTTCTATAAGCATGCTTCTCAAAGGTAATATATTTTCTTGAGAATAGCATCTGTATTGAACTTTCCTTGAAAGGTATGCAAAGCTTTCTTGTATAATTTTCCGTAAACTTTAGGCAAAACATGAACAATACAGTGATCGGAATTTAGCAGTGGAGCCCGTTTATGGGCTTCATATATGCCAGGTTCATTTGTAAATGCAAAGTCTAGAGTGTTGTCAAGACGAGTGGAAAAGTTAACCATAATTTTATGACCCAATGATAATAGAAAACTGTAGTCACATGAGTTGAAATCACCACAGACAATAGACAAGGAGTTTCCCAGAACCGGAGCAGCAAATTCAGTGAATTTATCAGCAAAAGTTGACAAATCTGAGAAACTGCAGTCAGGTGTGTGTGTGACATACATGTTTGTAATGTATATGTATTTGTATTTGCTCAAATGTTTGGGATGACATTTGATGGTGATGCACTCAAGTTTTTCGTTAGAGAAGCAGAAGCATACATAGTTGGAGGACGACCAGTTAGTACTAATAAATGTTGCTACACCATCACCACCACCACCACCACCACGACCACATTTCTTCTTCGAAAAGCTTCGATCTTGTCGAAATAATTTGAAACCATTTAAGCAGACTAAGTCATCATCATACAGGTTATCAAAAACCATCAAATTCCATCCAACTCAACCAAACTAACCAATGGAAAAGGAATGTTCTCGCGTGAACATCAATCATGTGATCCAGAAAGGTAACCAGTTAGGAAACAATCTACAATCTACTTTGATAATCAACACAGTAGACACTGAAAACATATTAGTGGATGTGGTTGTTATTTGGTGTCGCACGATGCCTGCGCCTCCGTGGCGCAATGGGTTAGCGCGTTCGGCTGTTAACCGAAAGGTTGGTGGTTCGAGCCCACCCGGAGGCGGAGGGGGTTTTAACGCCACACCTGGTCACAGTTACAGCCGCCACCCACTCACCCGTCGACGACACACATCACACACGCCTCTTCTCTCGTGTACACTGCGCGCAGTCGACTCGTCGTAATCCCATGTCGTCAGTAGTGGGATCCAGTCGCCGGTGGACTTCAGCCACACGCCAGACTGCCTCCCATCTCCTCTTCGTGCTGAGGCGATGTCTGTCTCGCCAGCTCTTCTTCGCCTCTACAAACACACACAGTCAGGCTTCACTGACTGCTTGCTTCACACTCGTCTCCGATAACACTTCACATCTGCAGACACACGCACTCGACAAACCAGTCGGATGATGACTACACACATGCACTCCTTCGATGGTTGTCTCCAGGTTGTCTACAGCCTTACGGAATTTCGTGTACCACTGGATTACGGGGAATCCATTCCAGAGGAAATCGACACCAAAAACAAAGGAGAATGACGTAATAGCAGAGTTGGAAAATAAACCAATTCTCACCAATCAGTCAGCATCACGTGAGAGTAAGAATTACTAGACACAATCTAGGAGGCTACACTCCATAGCAATCAATAACATGAAGAACACAGCGAAAACTACAATCAAAAGTGATGATCAAAAACCATCAAAAAGAGGGAGGAAACGAGATCCAGCTTGGAGATCATCATCAAGATAATGTGTGGATACACCTGTGCTATTCACATCAATTCTCAGACAATCACCAGTTTCCGTTGTCATGCGGATCTCAACCATTTCCTTACACCGCTCGCATAAACACTTGGAGACTTCAATCACTCATCTGATGTTTCTGTCTGGTCACCTCTTTAACCTGAACCTGTTTCACGCAGACGGTTGCCATACACACATAACACATGTCTCAATCACTGAATCCACAACGGTTCACAACCTAATCAACTAACTTTCTTCTTCTTCTCGTCAAAATGACTTCTGAGTTACTCACGTAGTGACACCAGGAAACACGGTCTATGCTGTCAAGGCGGTGGTCGTCGAACAACTCAAGCTGACTGCTTGACTGAAATCCTCAAGATAACAAATAGTAATTAATCAATGATTGAATAACCTTGGTTGATTTTCAAATCATTACTTCCATCCACTCTTGTCTACTTTGAAATCACTGTTTTTCTACCGATTTGTATATTTTCAAGCTGTTGTGAAGGTTACACGTTGATTTTGTCTATCTGACAAATTAATGTATCTATTCAAGTATTTTTTGTTTTTAGTGGTGAAGCGTAATGTAAACCGCTCAATATTTGAAGTCTGTGACTACAGTGCACAGTGAGTGATATGGGTTCACATTTCTAAGACGATATCATCTCATGATGATTAGTACAAATTTGTACTAAATCTCAGAAAGTCCTAACCATAACATCTCACTATCCAACACACATGAAAATATGCACTACAGAATACTCACCTATTCTCTGTTTGTAATTTTATGCAATACACCCATGAATTGCAATTTCGAAGAAAAATGAGCAACAAAAATAGCATGTAAACTTCATTATACAAACAAAGAAAAGATTCACACAACATAATGGATAATAATAATAATTAAATATTGAGCAGAAAAACATCATCATAAAGTGTACACAATACATGAAAATACGTCAAGAAAGGCCTTGTGTCTCCTGCTGTTGTTGTTGTTGTTGTCGATTCGAAAAAATATCTGCTTTCATCGAATATCTTGTGCACATATAAGACGATATACTAATTCACTGATAGACAAGCGTTTAGGAAATAACGGTTTATGAATTAAATGACTCTGTGTATACATTTCATGAAAATCGATTCTGGTAAGCTGTAAAAGAAAGAGAAAAACGGGGAAAAACAAAAATATAGATTTATCACTGACTGGCATAAGTTATAGAACTATGGAGAATCTGAGAGCACTAGATAACTAACTGTTTTGTCCTAGTATGAGACTTCTCAGCAGTGCACACCAACGACCCTACCCCACCCTCCCCCCACCCCCAGGGATAGAACTCAACGCCTTCACGTTTCACGATGAAAGCGTTAAGCATCCAGCCTGTGAGACATAGTCCCATCCTCCATGCTTTCTCACTTCTATCAATTCACGATATAACGTGACTGACTAACCATCAAGGTCTTCAGTTGGTACTCGCTTCCAACCGGTTCCAACTGGTTGACACTAGCCGGGGATAGTAGGCAAATACTGCTGAACAGTTCCATACCAGAACAAAACAGCTCTACCATGTTATCACTCATTCCCTAACTGATATCACTCCACGATCAATATTAATTCAAAATACATACAAATTATGTATATAGTTAAAATAAATCTACGAGAGTCTAACTCCGCGCAAATAAATAGGTAACTTGTGCATTGCTCCACATAAAGATTCTATATTCCATCTTGTATGACAAGCATATGTATAACTGCAAGCTTACATGATAGAAAGAAAATGTTATCCAACGTTCAACAGTTTCTACCTGGTCTTAGTCAATAATTTTCAGTGTTAGAAATAAAATTAAAGAACCATTGAAATACAGTAGGAAACGGTGGACAGCATGGGAAATTGTTATTGAAATATACCTTATTTACTAGATATATTCAAACACGGTGAAACAGTATTATTTAGTAGATAATTGGTACCTTAGTTGGATGTGCATCCACATTATTTATCATTATTATTTTTCCATTGGCGTCCTAGTGGAACATAGGGCTTCAGTAGTAGGTCTCCAGTGCACTCTCTTCTCTGCAGTCTTTTCAACATGGCTCCACGAATGCCCACAAGCTCTCATTTCTTCCTCACACCATCTCGATCTCCTCCATGTCACCCTCGCCTCGGACCAACAACTCGTCGCTTCCCATCTGCGTTCCACTCGACGGCCTCGCCTGGCCTGCCCTGGCCTGGCGCGTGATGTCCACAGTCGGCCTTCTCAGTCCATCCCCAATCCATCTCCACTTCCTTCCACTGCATATTGGTTGAGTGATAGCTTCTTCGTTCGTTGGTTCGTTGCCCGCCCGCCAGCCAGCCAGCCAGCCAGCCAGCCAGCCACAGTTCCTTCTTGCTTATTCTTTCTCGTCATCTCATCTTCAGTATCCAACCAGAGTACGCACATCTTCATGAATCTTTATACTCTGTTCGAAGTGCTTTTCGTGACGCACCAAGTTTCTAAACCAAATAGCACCACTGACTTCACACTGGTGTTCAAAATCCGGATCTCGTTCACGCTTTATGCTGAGTGTAGCGCAGACGATCTCAACACTGATTTCAGATTAGTGAAAGCCTGTCTCGCTTTTCCAACCCTACTTTTGACATCCTCATCTGTGCCACCTGTAGTTGAAATGATGCTGTCTGGGAAGTTAGGTGAAAGAGGCTACTTACTTCAAGTTTCTCCCGTTAATGGTGATTCGAGTTTGTTGTTGATGCTGTTGTTGGTTGGGTATCTTCATCACCTCTGTCTTCTCTCTATTCACTTGAAGTCCGGTCTTCACTGCCCTGTCTTTCCTCTCAACTTGTTAGTTTTCGCCTGTAGATCTTCGAGTTTGTGCGAAGATAAACAAAAATCATAAGCGAAATCCAAATCTTCTAGGCTCCTTTCATCGGTTCAGCCAGCGTATACCCATCTTCTCGCTTCTGTGTGCTGTGTGATCCACTCCTCCACAATCATGATAATCATGGGTGGTAGTTGGCAGGCTTGTCTTACTCCTGTCTTTACTACAAAGGCGTCGCTGAACGTTTCATTGTGGATTACTTGGTATATGGCCTTTTCATATAGATGTTGAATGAGGCTGATAAAGGTTTGTGGCACTCAGTAGTATTGAAGCAGCTGCTAAATTACTTCCCGGTCGACGCTCTCAAAAGCGTTTTCAAAGTCGATAAAGTTGAGGTAGAGAGTTGACTGCCATTCTATACTCTGTTCTATGATGCTGAGTAGTGTGTTGTTGCAAATTGATCGGCATATGATTTGTTCTTCCTGAAGCCAGTCAGCCGGCCTGTCCCAGTCATAATTTTGCATCCAGTGCATCATTTAGTCTCTCCAGCATGATGCGGCATAATATTTTCCTTGGGATGAACAGCAGCACGATTCCTCTCCAGTTCTTGCAAACACTGAGGTCTCCCTTCTTCGGCAGTTTGACAAGGTAGCCCTCCTTCCAATCAGTGGGCAGGTACCTTCCCTTCCTTCCTTCCTTCCTTCCTTCCTTCCAAACCTTCTGCAGTAGGCGTGTGAGCATGTCCACTGTTGTCTCTACATCTGTTTTCAGTGCTTCTGGTGGAATCCCATCAAATAAACAAATTAAAATGCAAAGATGTGAATACAACTGTGTAATTTCGGTTAATTCTCTCCCGCATCACCTAGGATCGCTAACCACGGATTTCGGTAGTTCCACTTACTCCAGCGATGATGCAAACCTCTTCCTATGATGCTTAGACCAACAGTCACACAACTCAACGCTTTGATGCCATTTTACTCAAATCGGCTTTCGAAATGCATTCAGCAATCTTGTATACACCTATTGCCTGGCAGCTAATGATACTTACTATCTGGCTGCTTAAACATCGATAGATGCAGCAGGATTCGATTTGCTGACCCATTAGTGGTTGAAAGATATCTCCCTAAACTGATCAGCCACTGCTCCACCTGACTGCTCTGAGGGTTTCTTCGAACTGACCAAACTCTAATTAAAATTGTACGTCGCGGTAGACTGTACGCCAACATATATAACATATGTCTTAACCACTACAGTTCAACATCTCATCAATTCACTTGCCTACCTCACCTAGAAACATATGCTTAATATCTGCGTTTATCATACATATAGTGGTTTCACCATCCGTAACAGGGACTAACACGGCAAAAAATCACTGCCTACCTGAAGCATTCTAAAATTCATTACATTAGTTTCACGGTTAGGAAGTAAGGAAGAGCAAATTGTTGTGCAGCATCTTCAACCCATATTAGGTATTCTCACCAGTACTGCAAGTGGCTTAAGTTGGTGAAGAAAATTTGAGTCGACTGCATCTCTGGTAAACAATTCTCGACAACTAATTCAACAAACATGACTCAAATTCACAAGCAAGTGAAGCAGTTAACTTGTTCAGTCGATTCAACCTCAACTCACATGCATCAGAGTATCGATGAAAACCAACTTGTATTCAAGTGGGAAACACCATCCCGAGTATCTTCAAGTGTAAGTTAACGTGGCCGTATGACTTTGACTGTCTTGATCTAATAAGACTGTGTCATCTGGGTGAGTACCAGAGAAGAGAATAAGATAATAAGATACTACCTCACATTGTTTCACGCAGTATCTGTATAAACGCGTCGTAAGCAATATTTGTTTCAACAGTAAGTAAAAATTTAGACCCTGACCGGATTCCAACCAGCGATCATAAGGTTTCCAGCCCGATGCTCTGCCAACTGAGCTACGAGGTCCGACTACTGACCAGATGTTTATTTTCACTTCAATCACTATAGGTTTCACCTGACTACCATGTGAATTCGTAACGCGTTACCGCCGCTTCATCGTATTCACACTGGCTGCCTAGTCAGGACTTTTGCCCCAATACAAATCTAGCTGATTTAGAGAGGGGGAGCATCATATTGGTTATCATTTTGACCATATGAGATAACCGTAGTTTGGGAGACTAGTATTCATACTGGCGAAATACAACCAAGCGGTAGCAACACGTCACGAATACACATGGAATTGGACAAAATTCATAGTGATTGAAATGAAAATAAAAGTCTGGTCAGCAGTGACAGCTCGTAGCTCAGTTGATAGAACATCAGACTGGAAAGTCAGTGGTCACTGGTTCGAATCCGGCCGCGGTTCAAACTTTCACTTAACTTCAATCATCACCCAGTATTAATTTATTAGTCTGCCAAACTACGGTTATCTCAGATAGTCAATCAATGTCCCACTTATGAAAACTATCTGTTTTCTATGTGATTTCATCGAAGATAATAATTTTCACATGAGTATCTCAAAGCACTAGTTAAAGGAAATGCCCCGAAGACGTACTTTGAACGTGCAGTTCCAATTCAAAATGACCTATATAGACAAAAGGATGGAGTTGCTATAGGGTCACCACTGCGACCGTTCTGACTGTTGCTTCATGCTGAACCTAGAGAATAGTGTGCTGCATTCAACAATTGATAGTTTCTACCTATATAAAAGATATATGGATGACATATTCATCATGTGTGACTAAAATACAGATATTGGGACTGTAGTTAAAAAGTTCAGCGATTCCCACCCATCAATCAACTTCATATCAGAATTTGAAGAGAACTTAGAATTCCATTTTCTAGATGCTTTATTGAAACGGAGATCAGATGGCTCTCTTCAGAGATCAATTCGTAGGAAGCCTATATGGAATGGACAATATTTGAATTTCTATAACTGGGTACCTCTTAGCAGAAAGAGGAGTCTAATCTATTTCGAGTGATACTATCGGTGATGAATTAGACAAACTACGGAAAGTTCTCATGCAAAATGGATACCCATTCAGATTTATTGAGAAGAACTTGAAATTAAAACACAGTACGGAGCAAGTACTCACATCTCCAAAGAAGACCTTGTTTATTAACGTTGGTTTCAAAGGCGATATATCAGCAGAGATCCTGAAGAATCCGCTGTCCAGATCATTGAAGAAGACATTCTTCTCTCTGAGGCTGCAGATCAGCTTCTCTAGTCAGCAACTGCTTCTAGAGTAAGTTAAGGACAAGTTGCCACTATGGTCCAACTCAATGTGTGTCCACAAATTTACTTGTTGCAATGGAGCTAGTTATATAGGCCGCATAAAGCGTACACTCTTTCCAAACGTATCTCAGAGCACTACTATCCTGTATGGTTGTCGAGGGGAGAATGTAAATCAATTAACAATTCAATTGTTGAACATTTAGTCAACTCTGGATATATAGCTCGATTGAAATGATAATCAACAGGAAATAAGTAGTCAATTCACTCATGTAAAACAGTATATCAGACTCACTTTTAATCGTAAAAATGAGCATTGTTTTAAATCTCTTCTAGGCGCTTCCAAAATTAGTTTAGCTAAAGGTGAATAAACCAATGACTCAATGAAATATTCCAATTAATCAATGAAAACGTTTGTAAATAATAATAATAACAATAGTAGTATAAGATGCCTACTAGGCATTATATGACTTATACATCAGATCAATAATTACAGTACGCCTAACAATCTTCGACTTTATTAACTACATAAGAGATGTCAAGGGTGTATATATCATCGTACGTCACATTACTCTTGCAAAAATCCCTCTATAATAGAAATAATCTATTTTATATGATATTCCTAAATATATTTTCTGAAGAGATTGCTTCTAAGATGTACTTTAATAAACAATTCAGATGCAATAATGAACTTTATCAACAAATCGATGAGGTAACAATGGGTTCACCAATGAGTCTTCTATGTCTCTGTCGCTATCTGAGCTAATTGCTTCATGGCTAGTTTAGATAATAGTAAACTATGTTCATTGATCGGTCAGTTTCATTTACATAAAAGATACATGGATGATACTTTCATCATTTATGATGAGGATAGTAACCTTGAAGAAATACTAAAAAAGTTCAATAAAAATTTACCAACCAAACTAAAAATAATTCGCAATTCTACTTCTTCAACTTTCTATTGAGAGGAAGAAATAATGGTCCCCTAGAGAGAATAACTTACAGGAAATAAACTTTGAATGGATAATATACACATTTTTAAACCTGAGTTCTTGACTAATGTCAAGAAAAGAAATCTAATTCATTCACTTTTGATAATAATTAAAAGAATTTGTATGAAGGATGCAGTAAATTAGGAGCTGGAAGTACTTCAATAGTAGTTACCCTTCAAGATTCATTTAGAGGAACATGAGGCTTAAGCATTTCCAAAAAGGAATCTCTACATTCCTAAAAAAAAGTCACCATTTCGGGATACTGGGTCCAAGGGAAATACATTGGTGGATATATTCAACAATCGATTGTGTAAAGCACTGAAGAAGACCTTCTTTTTCAACGAGTTTCAGATTGTTTTCTCCTATCAACAACTGATTCGAGGGTGTGTAAAGGATAAACTACCACTTAAGATCACATCTATATGTTTACCAATCCAACTTCTCTTATGGAGTTGGTTACATAAACTGCACAAATCGTGTTCTATCTAAACGCATGTTCGAACACCATTCTGCATGGTTGTGTAAAGGACAGGGTAAAACAGTCAATAGCTCGATTCTTGAGCATATGTTTAACTCTGATCACTCTCTACTCCAAGAGAACCTTCTTTCAAAGTCATTTAGAAAGTGAAATGAAACATTTCGTAGAGAGTGCGTATTCTTCACGTCAATACGGTGGAAGCTTTGACAATTCAGCGGTTCAATTCTGATCTTTTCATTCAAAAGAGATACATTCAATATCTCGAATTTTATCTTGGATGTAATCTTCCAGAGAAGTTTTATTCACTTTCCTATTTATTTATTGTAATCTCATAAGCCATTTTTCGATGACCTTGAGTTGCCTTTTTAGCTGTTATCACCTTGTAACTTTATTGATTATTATTAGTTGCGATTGTACAAAATGATACGTCGAAAAGAAAATTATTTTAAATTTTGGGGTTTGTTGGGATTTATTGATTTCAAGTTGGAATCCATCACTGATTGATATCAGTTGAAAGGAACATTAGAAACCTGCAAGTACTGAATAGCTGTTTCGTCTTGTATGGGACTCCTCAGAAGTGCGCACCTACGACCCCGCCAAGGGCCGAACTAAGGACCCTTCAAGTTTCATGGCCAGCACGTTACCATTGAGCCACTGGGTCGGAATTTAATGGTCCATATTTCCTACTTCTGTAAGTTCACGACACAGAGCAGTCACCACTCAATGTCATAGTTGAGTATTTGTCCTCACAGCCACCAATGTTCCTCCAACTGATGTTGGTCCATGATGAATACCAACTTCAAAGTTTTTTCCGCTGAATTGTCTTTTTTTGAAAGTATACTTGGTTATCTACCTTAGGACAAGCCAAGTGCAGTCAGTATCTGGTCACGGCAAGCCGCCTATGAAGATACATCACCAACAACACAAAAAGGTTGATATGTCAGTAAGCGCTCCTATCTACTACAACATTCGCTTAAGAACTTACACATGAAAAAGATCAGTGCAGAATTGGATCACATTGGCATTAGGATTCTGATTTGCCAGATAACAGACAGTATTATTTATCTGAATGTCAGACTTTAGGGGAAGGAAAATAGATAGTGTCTGACGGTCAGTCAAATACAGCACAAATGAGTACTGAATATACTTTAATATCAAATCGTTGGGAGTGATCAGTAAACAAAGCATAACTACAACCTCGAGAGAACCGGTGTCAGCTAAGAAATTCAGATTTTCATTAGCCAAAACTTCAGCTAGAGACTTTTCAACTGACCTATCGTACAAAAAGAATGAATAACATAATACCTCTCAGCCTGCATTGCATAGTAATCCTAATCAATCCAAGAAGATTTCAACATCAGAACAGTAGTGGTTGACTGTCTCGACCGCTTCACTTACCTGGGAAGTACGATCAACCCGGATGGCTCAGTGGAAGGTGAAATCTCTGCACGGATACGAAAGGCTCGACTGGCTTTCGCTGACTCACCCCACCTATGGCGTAGCCGTGATATCCAACTGTCTGTCAAGAGTCGCGTGTACTCCACAACATTCCACTCTCGTCTACATTATCGTTGTGAAACATGACCATCAAAGGTGCAAGACATGAAAAATCTTCAGGTGTTTGACCACCATTGTCACCTTCGTAGTATACACCATATTTCGTAGTGTCACCACGTGAGCAATGCACAAGTCAGGCTCAGGCGTCGTAGACTTATAGGCAGAAGAGGTAAATCAGTTGACATGGTTGTTGTGAACCTTCATCAACTCAGATGCTTGGCTCCGACATGTACCACGTATGCCTAGTCGCCGTCTCCCTCGTCACACAATCTTCGTCGAAGTAGGTCCACGTCGGAAAAAGGCCCCACACACTAAGGCCACACTAAAACATGGCATCAATCAATGTATCAAGTGTTTGACTCTTGGTTCCAGGTCATATGGGGCGATGTAGACTAGTCGGTTGGGGGTCCGCAGGACAAGAGGAACCAGTGGTTGGAGACTCTAGGTGATCACATGGCTGAGAACCGATGTCAGTGTCACAGATGTATACATACACATTATCCTCATTTTAACGACGCTATACCAAATCTCACCATTTTCTCACTCTTCCTTTCTGTCTTTGAGTACCTTATATTTCTTTTGACTGAATTTTCTTATCTTCATCTTCCACTTCACTGGCTTTTTACTTGATGTGATGATGTGAGCTGTGGCAACTCGGATCGTTAAGTAGTAATGCCTGGTCTTATGTTGACTTGCATAGATGGATGGATGGATGGAGAGAACAGAGTATTGAAACATATCATGGTGGAGTGTGTTATTTTTGGGACCGGCCTTTTCTAACCCCTCCCTCTCGTTCCACTGAGAAGGCAGCATCAGTATAGCACTGCTGATCATCCAAGGGAAACACCTTACTGCTGTCACACCCCATCCAACTAGCAGCAGTACGACTTCGCCCTCAGACCTCAATCATAGTGTAGCAATTTACACTATAACGGTAACTGCTTTTCGTCTAACCACTATCCAACAGACCTTTCTGGTATGGTAGGGCCTCGAGGGAACATGTGTTCCACCAGCATAGCTCGTTGGGTCATTTTGATATGCAAGTACGACCACCAGGTCAAGGTAGCAGCTATCGGTCGGGCATAGAGGAATTCAAGCTAATAATCTTAGTCTTTGTATGCAGAAAAAGTACGTATATCATTTATCTATCCCTCAGTTAGAAAAAACTTACCAAATAGCTTTATACTTGAAACTTTTCTCACCTTTTCATATACTTATGTTTGTTCAGACCTCGTTTATCAACTTACTTCGTCTTTTAATGTTACACATTATTTTTTCAAGCTTTTGACTAGCTTTGATTGCCAGAGTATCAAGATCATCATGTTATATTCATATCATCATTATCATCATCTCTATTACAACCGCTTTAGTCAACATTATAATTATGACAGTCGACGTTATGATTTATTTTCAGGTTAATGGAGATTTGTTTTTAAGATAGTACTCATCATGGACTGGAATTGGTTCGAGGAACCATTAAAAATGTAGGAGCACTGGAAAGTTATTTCTACCTAGAAATATGCTCTTCCATAGTACGCACCTAAAAACCGACTCCATCTTCCGGGGATCGAAATCAGGACCTACAGATTCTACGGTGAACACTTTAGCCATTCAGCGAATAAGTTCAGATTTCAATGGTCTACAGTTTCCTACTTCTGTCGATTCGCGAAATAGTGCGACTATCATCCAAGATGTTCAGTTGCCATAAACGCTTCACTTCTCACTAGTTGACCTAACATCATAGGTCATGGCTTCTCATTAGAACTTCGGGATGTCCAACTCGAAGCATCCCATTAATGCGCACTATACAATAATATATTTTGAGGTTAATAGAAATCTTATTTTTAGGATAGAAAACATCACAGTCTGACAAAACGGCTGTGGAGTACTCCCAGGTTTTCAATGGTTCTGAAACTGATGTTAGTCCGTGATGAATTAATATTATTATTTATCCCTTGGGTTCCTAGTGGAACATAGGGCTTTAGTAGCACGTCTCCAGTGCACTCTCTTCTCTGCAGTCTTTTCAACATGGCTCCACGAATGCCCACAAGCTCTCATTTCTTCCTCACACCATCTCGATCTCCTCCATATCACCCTCGCCTCGGACCAACAACTCGTCGCTTCCCATCTGCGTTCCACTCGACGGCCTCCCCTGGCCTGGACTGGCCTGCCTTGGCCTGGCGCGTGATGTCCACAGTCGGCCTTCTCAGTCCATCCCCAATCCATCTCCACTTCCTTCCACTGCATATTGGTTGAGTGATAGCTTCCTCGTTCGTTGGTTCGTTGCCAGCCAGCCAGCCACAGTTCCTTCTTGCTTATTCCTTCTGCTCATCTCATCTTCAGTATCCAACCAGAGTACGCACATCTTCATGAATCTTTATACTCTGTTCGAAGTGCTTTTCGTGACGCACCAAGTTTCTAAACCAAATAGCACCACTGACTTCACACTGGTGTTCAAAATCCGGATCTCGTTCACGCTTTATGCTGAGTGTAGTGCAGAAGATCTCAACACTGATCTCAGATTAGTGAAAGCCTGTCTTGCTTTTCCGACCCTGGCTTTGACATCATTAAAAATATTATTATTATTATTGCTGTTTTAGAACATATCACTGGCCGACAAATCTACCTGAATGGGTTAGAATTCATATATATATATATATATATATATATATATATATATATATATATATATATATATATAGCTATTTCTATTCAAGTAAAACCTGAAAAGGACCCAGTTAACAACAATACTTTTTATATGCCTTGTTTGTATAACATAATTCTTAATAAAATAAATAAGCGTATTCTTTAGAGTTATATGTTCAAATAAGGAGAGATTTTTCCTGTCTCAGATAGATGATAGATTCGAATCATACAAAGGTCTTTTACCTGTTTACAAAGATGCTATTCAGCAACCGTTTACAGATGGCCCATAGACCAGACTATGATATGTGTCTGTATATGAGTGAGTGAGTGGAGGACCCAAAACCTCGGTATCCTAAGCACTGTGTACACAATACAAAGTAATAAATTAGGCAACTAGTTTTACAGCAGCGATGAACTCACTTTGATAATAAGAACTATTAAAAATCCAGAGTAGAAATGATTCCAATGGAAAGTCCATAATGAACCAAACTGCACTCTTCAAAATATTCTTTATAAGTAACAAAAATAATTGAATCTAAAAAGAAAATTAAAAATTATTGAATGGAATTGAAAAAAGATGATGGACATAAACACACAGACAAATTAATGTGCGACCTAGCACTCAAGTGTATCTATTCACATTGTCACACTTATTGAATTTCAAAACGAAGTTGAGTAAGAATATTCGAGCTTTAGAAGACACTAAAGTGTGAATGCATCTGAGTAATTTTAACCAATTTTCAGTCATGTTATTAAAAGACCTCAACCACTGATTCGTATTGTGTTGGGAAAATAAGTCAGATAGTCTACAACTACACAGACCAACAGCAGGAGACTTTATGGACTAGTATCACATCTTCGTCTGGACACCGTAGGCTATTTAATTCAATCTGACTTCTCCTAGCATGGCATATCAATGTAGGCAGTGAATAGGTATGCGCAGTACATTTCCAAACCACCTCAGTTAACTAAAGTTCACAACCTCATCGATCAAGTTGTCTGTCTTGTTTAGTACTCTTCGACTCACATTATCATCTGTCATATGATGATTCCATCATACGCCAGCAATGTTGTGAAAACATGTTTACTCATAAACCTATCACTGCTTCGTATCTCCTACCTTTCACAGCTATGTTTCAGCCATACAACAGGACAGAACGGATGGCAACGCAGTGTACTCATCCTTTGACAGATAGTCAGATATCTTACCACTCGGCGCCACAAGCGATGTAAGTTGGTAAATGCTTAACAGAACTTCTGTATCGGAGATGAAATTTCATTAGCAAATCACCAATTAAGTGAAATGGTCGACGCATTCCACCACTTCACTTCCAACCATTAAACTGGGAGTAATTCCAGCAGATCAGTCCAGTGCAGCATCATTTGACATTTGACAGGTGCCAGCGAAACGCATACCAAACATGTTCAGATTTCTCTTCATCGCGTTCAAAAAACCCTACATTCTTTTCAGCGTCTTCATCTAGAAGGACAATATCGTCTGCATACTCCAAGTCAATCTCACATAACCTCTAGGGAGTAGACCAATTCACGTAGTCACACGTACTTAAGGTTATTCCCATTAGTACGCCTATAACAAAATTAAACAAGAATGGTGACAGTAGGTATTCTTGACGGATACCAAACAGTTGTTAGTTCAGATGACAGTTCCTCATAAGCCCTTGCACAACTACGTGAGTTCCAGCAAAAAACTTTGATAAGCATTATATACTCGCTCGGTACTCCCTTCATAGTCAAACACTGCCAAGACACTCACGGTCGGCAGAATCAAATGCCGCCTTTAGGTCATCCGGTGAAAATATGATCGATTTACCCTCATCTCGTCTGAAACTTGCCTGGTTTAACCGAATTTCCTGTTCTCAAGCTCTATTTAGGCGTCGGATAGCTAATGAATCTAGGATCTTGGATATAATTTTAATTATATAGATATTTCATACGAGAATGATTTAAACGTGAGGGTAGAATGACAGGGTAATACGTGCTGCACGTGGATGCTACTGAAACATTTGGGCGAGAAGTTCAAGCCTTTAAAGCGCCATTTCCCAAAACTAGAATAAGTGAAAAATGAATTTACATTCATAATAAAATTACATACAGATAATAATATATGTGCTAATGAATGGCTGGTCAGCATAAGCACACAAAACAATATACAATCAAGTGGTATCTATGCTTCAATCAATGCCTTTCAAAACAGATATTTGGCATGTCTATTCCAATCAATCCAAAGGAAGCCTGAATTTTATACATTGATTGGTCAGTGAAAAGAAACCAATTGCATATTGTCTTGTTCCCAGAACTGACCGAAATCCATTAATCATTTTACAAGCTAGAAGACTCACAATCATGGTGTATGTACCATGATAAGTGAAGATCAGCCATGCTGACAAGTGCTAACAAGCACAAAACCAAGGTCTATAGCTTCCTGTCAGTTGTTTCCGACCAACTGAAACACGAATTTTATCCGATGAATCGTAAAACTATACAATCCACCTAAATTAATCCACGAAGCCTACAAGAATAATTCGCCATAATAAATAATATATCGAGGTTATTTGTAGAAGTAATATTCATCACAAAATGAAATCAATTGGAGAACCCCTGAAAACCTGGGGGCACTGAACAACTGATTCGTTCTAGCATGGGACTCCTCAGTATCGACGACCCTTCCCAGCAGAGATTGAACTCATAACCTGCAGGTTTCACGGTGAACCCATTATTCATTCAGCCAGTAAGGTCGGATTCCTATGGTCCACAGTTTCCTAATCCTGTCATTTCGCAGCTTAGAGCGACTATCCAGTTCATATGAGAAACCATGACCTGCAAGGTTAACCAGTCATAAATTAAAAAGATTCCAACTGAAGATCTTGGATGATAGTCACACTATATCACGAATTGATAGGAGTAAGAAACTGAGGATCATTAAACTCCGACCTACTGACTGGATGGCTAACGTGTTCACCGTGAGACGAGAAGGTTCTGAGTTCAATCTCTGGAGGATGGAGTCGTTGGTGTTTACTGCTGAGGAGTTTCATGCCAGGACGAAAACGCTGTGCAGTCCTGTCGGGTTCCCAACTGATGTCAGTCGATGATAAATATTACGTTAAATAGATATATCCTATAACTATTTGATAACATGATCGAAATTATTCAGAACTTCATCATTGAAGATTTAATATTCACCTGATTTTTTATTACAAGTGAGACAATCCAAGGAGTTTCACATAACTAACTGACTGCAGTCAAGTACTTTTCGAAAATATCACAGAAGAGAGTATACACAGTAAAAGCTTATCAGCTAAGAAAAAGATATAGGCGTAAAATAATAGGATAACTACTTCTTTGAGGCTAGATAAGGAATGAATACCCTCTTAAGAGGGTAGTGAACCATGAAGATAAGAAAATTCAGTCAAAAGAAATATCAAGTACTCAAAGACAGAAAGGAAGAATGAGAAAATAGTGAGATTCGGTATAGCGTCGTTAAAATGAGGATAATGTGTATGTATACATCTGTGACACTGACATCGGTTCTCAGCCATGTGATCACCTAGAGTCTCCAACCACTGGTTCCTCTTGTCCTGCGGACCCCCAACCGACTAGTCTACATCGCCCCATATGACCTGGAACCAAGAGTCAAACACTTGATACATTGATTGATGCCATGTTTTAGTGTGGCCTTAGTGTGTGGGGCCTTTTTCCGACGTGGACCTACTTCGACGAAGATTGTGTGACGAGGGAGACGGCGACTAGGCATACGTGGTACATGTCGGAGCCAAGCATCTGAGTTGATGAAGGTTCACAACAACCATGTCAACTGATTTACCTCTTCTGCCTATAAGTCTACGACGCCTGAGCCTGACTTGTGCATTGCTCACGTGGTGACACTACGAAATATGGTGTATACTACGAAGGTGACAACGGTGGTCAAACACCTGAAGATTTTTCATGTCTTGCACCTTTGATGGTCATGTTTCACAACGATAATGTAGACGAGAGTGGAATGTTGTGGAGTACACGCGACTCTTGACAGACAGTTGGATATCACGGCTACGCCATAGGTGGGGTGAGTCAGCGAAAGCCAGTCGAGCCTTTTGTATTCGTGCAGAGATTTCATCGGCCAGTGTGCTAGCCATCCGGGTTGATCCTACTTCACAGGTAAGTGAAGTGGTCAACACACTCAACCATACACTCAAAATGACACAATTAAGGTAAACCGTGTATAGATGAACATGTATACCTTTGGTGTCTAATCTATTATATATATATATATATATATATATATATATATATATATATATATATATATATATATATATATATATATATACTAGGTGAATAAAATGAAACAGGTAAAGACAAGTACTCAACCAATAATAAAAATAGCTTTTAACTTACACATGTAAATGTAATATAGAATGCTATAGTTGTGGAGTATAAACACAATCCAATAGCAAGACCTAATAATGTAGACACTAACAAACGATCAAGGTATACACCGCATGTTTGTTTATTCAACTGGTCAATTAGAGTATCAGAATTTTGTTTATTTGAAACAAATTTGTACAGCATATCTCTTTGTTCCATTGACTTCGGCGTTTCACTATAATTCTCTACTTCTTTATCATATTGTAGTAGATGATTTTCTTTATCAGATGAAGATGATATCAATGATGGTGATGATGGTGTTGAGATACGTTTGTGTAATGAACTGATTGTTAGTAATAATTCATTTGGATCAATAAACATATCAGGTATTTTGTCAACACGATTACGTAATGGATTCCATTTAGAACTATTACGACACAAACGCCAAGAAGCTGCTATTGTTCTCGATTGCAACCGAAGCAGACTGAATAAATAATAATAATAATAATAATGAGCCTAAAATAGGATTGAATAATAAAAGTGTACAGCATAAAAAATAAGTTGAAATCTGATCATAGGAGCAAGTTGGCTCCGATTCCAACACAGGAGAAGTACAGTCAGATGCATGTGCCTGCTTCTCAGTGAGTGATGTTGTTCCCGCCAAGACTCGAACATAGGATTGACCCCTTCAAACGCCACTCCTTGTCATATAACACAGAATAATAGCTTATTAAAAATTTCGGATTGATACAGAACAAGATTTGGATTTCACCGATGATGATGATTTAGGCCTAATGTCTTGACACAAAAACTCGAAGATCTACAAGCGAAGAGCAACAAGTTAGCAGAAGAGGCAACGAAGACGGAACTTCAGGTGAACGTAGAGGAGACGGAGGTGATGAAGATGCCCAACCACCAACAGCAACAACAAGCACCAATCAGCATCAACGAGAGAAGTCTGAAGGAAGTTGTCTCTTTCACCCACCTGACCAGTTATCATCCTCCCAACTACAGGTGATGGTGGCGGCACAGATGAGGATGTCAAGGATAGGATGGAAAAGACAGCAAGACAGGCCTTCATTAATATGAAATCAGTGTGGAGATCTACTACACTGCACTCAGCATGAGGCCTGAACAAGATGTGGATTTTCAACACTAATGTCGGTCAAGTGACTCAGTGCTTCTATGTGGTGGTTGAGAGACTTGGCGTGTTCCGAAAAGCATTTCCAACAAACTGCGGACATCCATCAACAGCTGCCGCCTACGGTCACTCGATTCTGAAGATGGAGATCAGATGGCCAGAATAATTAGAGCAAGTAACAAGCAACCAACCAAGAACCCATTGCCCAACAAATGTGCAGAAGAAAGTGGAGATGGATTGGATTGAAAATGCACTGAAAAGACGGTTTGGGGACATCACGCTTCAGGCCAGGCCAGGCCAGTGCATTGAGTGGAACCCAAATGGGAAACGACGAGTTGTTGGTCGGAGGCGAGGGTGACATGGAGGAGATCGAGATAGTGTGAGGAAGAAATGAAAGGTTGTGGTCAGTTGTGGAGCCAGATTAAGAAGACTATAGCGAAGAGAGTGAAATGGCTGCGTGCTACTGAAGCCGTATGTTCCACTAGGAACCCAAGGGATAAATATTAAAAGTGCATACACACAAATGATATTAATTCCTAATCTCTTCAACAAAAAACTACCAGCTTTTACTTCCACTTTCTCAAAGAAACCAGCTAATGATTCTACATTTCTCTATGTCACTCACAACTTCAATAAAAGAACAATAGTCAATGACTACGTGAATTAATATGGTCTGTTGGCCTGCCCATCACTATTGAGACTACTACTCACTGTACTCCTATATCACAATATAAGTTCATCTGGAAAGATTTTAGAGAACAATATTTAAGTCATAGTTTTCTAGGCAAACCTACTGTCAACTAGCATACTAAAGGTTTTAAAGCCAACAAATCTATCCAGGTTCAGAGAGTTATGTGGCTCACTACTGCCTAGTGTGTGAAGTTGTACATAGTTGACTCAATAATATTTCTTAATTTGTCTGATGTATTCTAATCATCAAATCGAAGACGTCAATGAGATTGCATTAAAAAAAATGGTACTTGGAAATAATGTTGGTACTAAGAGACAACGTTCAGCATCTAGAATTCAGGTGTACCTATATGATAAGCAAACATGCTCCAATGGTTCTAATCATTCGAAATTCCCTGAATGAAATATGTATCCTGTCACCGGCTACAGAAGATTTGAGTATATGATAACAACATGAGTACTGTATCGCTCTGATATGAAATAGAATGATCAATTTGCAAATGATTAACAAACTGCACACTCCATCTTAACATTTCTCGTGACTGAGTAGTTTTCTTTCAACTGCTGGTTCCCTAACCAAGGCGTGATCTCCTAAACAAAAGTGTCATGAATTAACGAAAGATACTACCATCAAATAACCTCGCCTGGTTAACTAGTTCACTAGTTACTAGCTGGTCCTAAGACCGGGTAAACAGAGAAGGTTGGGCATAGGGTTAGCAACCCTACCCCGTAAAACAAATCTAACCGCTAAACAAACTTCAAAGCACAAACAAAATATAAAAAATAATAACAAAATTATTCCTCGCTGGAATTGGAGAGACGGAATGACGCCAGTTGGTGAAAGCCTCCAAGAAGCCAATTGGCCGATATGTCTTCTCTCCCTCGATCAAAGCGAAAGTAAACGTGGGGACATGGAATGTCCACACCATGTTTGAACCTACCAAGGCTGCCCAGATTGTAAAAGAGATGAGAAGGTATCACACTGAAGTGCTTGGAATTTGCGAAAGCAGATGGAATGGAAGTAGACTCTCCAAACTGTCAACTGGAGAATAAATAATCTACTCAGAAATCGTCACCCAGACGACAAACACGAGCACACTGAGGAAGCGGCTATCATGATGTCCCCTAGAGCATCGAAGGCCCTCATGCAGTGGGAACCAATCTCCTCCACGATCAGGATCATGACAGCAAGGTTCAACTCAAAAGAAAGGAAGGAAGGTCACAATCATACAATGCTACACTATGCACCTACAAATAATGCAGATGAAGAGAAGAAGGAGGAATTCTACAGACAACTGCAATCAACACTGGACAAGACACCATCACAGTTGGAGATATCAAAACTATAATGGGCAACATGAATGACAAACTGGGAACAGATAACATAGGAAGAGAACTAACCATGGGCCGAGAAGCACTCGGTGAAATGATGAATGAGAATGGAGAATTGTTTGCAGAATTCTGTGCATTCAACGATTTGGTGATTGGAGGTGAGGTAGTGTGTTCAAGCACAAGGATATCCACAAAGCGAGCGACATGGATTTCACCAGGCACCAGGACACACTACACTAAAAATCAGATCGACTTTATCTCAATGTGAAGAAAGTGGAGACACAGTCTACTTGACACAAGGTCAAGAAGAGGAGCAGATGTAGATTCAGACCACTCACTGTCTAGTGCAAGGAACCTTCCAAATCAAGTTAAAGGCCTTCAAAGAAGCTGGTGATAGACCTCAATTCAAGTACAACACTCGGAAACTGAAGGATGAAACTACAAAGGAGATCTTCACGGCAGCCAGCCATCAAGACAAAATGCGAGATATCGAGGAACATCCCTGAAGAAACCTGTGTGGAAGAACACTGGAAGTCTTTGGAAGAGATGTGGAAAGAAACCTGCACAGCCGTATTAGGAAGGAAGAAGAAAGAAGATAAGGAATGGATCTCAATGGATACATGGAAGCTGATAGAGCAGGGAGGGGAGGATGGTGAAGCAGAAGATTAACCAGTACAGTGCAAGGATGCACAACGACAAGAAGAACTGAGCACAATGTATAAAACACTACACTGGACAAAGAAGTAGAGAAGAGTGCTCCCAAAGACAAAAGACACTTCCATAACACACTGGCAAGTGAAGCAGAACAGGCTGCAGGTAAGAGAGACCTGACAACATTGTATCAAATAACCAGGTTACTATCTGGGAAGGAAGAGATCAACAAAGATGAAACCAATAAAAGATGATGAAGGAATTTTAATTACGAAAGAAGAGAAACAAAGGAAACGATGGGCGAACCACTTCAAGAAGCTCTTGAATCGACCACCACCACCACCACCACCTGCAACTCGTCCAGAAATACCACCTATAGCCCAGCCGCTGAACTACAAGTGAAGATAAATCCTCCAACAGAAGTGGAAGTCGTGAACGCCATAAAACTACTGAAATGTGGGAAAGCAGCAGGACCAGATGGGATCCCGCAAGAAGCACTGAGAATAGACGCAGAGACAACAGCGGACATGCTCACACCACACCACTATTGCAGAAGGTGTGGAAGGAAGAGAAGGTACCTACCTATTGATTGGAAGAAGGGTTACCTTGTCAAACTCCCGAAGAAAGGAGACCTCAGTGTTTGCAAGAACTGGAGCCGAATCACTCTCCTGTCCACCCAGTGCAAGCAAAATATCAAGCCGCATCATACTGAAGAGACTAAAAGGAACATGGTCTGGATTCAAAACTACCACCGGCACAGGCTGGCTGTCTGGCTTCAGGAGGTACAAATCATGTGCAGTCCAAATTGCAACCCTACACTACACATCATCATAGAACAGAATATAGAATGGCAGTCAACCCTCTACCTCAACTTCATAGACTTTGAGAAGGCATTTGACAGTGTCGACCAAGAAGTAATTTGGAAACTGCTTCAATATTACGGAATACCACAAACCTTTATCCGCCTCATTCAACAACTATATGAAGACGCCACATGCCAAGTAATTCACAATGGGAAGCTCAGTGATGCCTTTGAAGTGAAGACAGGGGACAGGAATAAAACAAGGCTGTCCACAATCACTCATGATATTCCTGATGGTGGTCAACTGGACTGGATCATGCAGCAAACAGTGGGCAGCGAGAAGAGGGGGATACAGTGGCTGGACTGCGGAAAAGAACCTAGAAGACTTGGATTTCGCCAACGATGACTTGTGCCTGATGTCACACAAACTTGAAGATCTACAGGCGAAAACTAACAAGTTGACAGAAGAGGCAGTGAAGACGGGACTTCAGGTGAATGTAGAAAAGACAGGTGATGAAGATACCCAACCAGCACCACCGCCAACAACAAGCTCCAATCACCATCAACGGGAGAAACTTAAAGGAAGTAACCTCCTTCACCTATCTAGGAAGCACTGTTTCAACTACAGGCGGCACAGGCACAGACGAGGATGTCAAAGCCAGTCAGAATCGGAAAAGCGAGACAGGCGTTCATTAGCCTGAAACCAGTGTGGAGATCTTCTGCACTCAGCATGTGGAACAAGATACGGATTTTCAACACCAACGTCAGTCAAGTCAGTGCTTCTGTATGGTTCAGAGACTTGGCGCGTTACGAAAGGCATTTCCAATAAACTACACACATTCATCAACAACTGCCACCTACGCTGGCTCGATACTGAAGATCAGATGGATTGCCAGAATAATAAGAATAAGCAACAAGGAGCTCTGGGAACCAACCAACCAAGAATCTATCACCCAACAAATATGCACTGGAAGGAAGTGGAGATGGATTGGTCATACACTGAGAAGGCCGACTGAGGACATCACGCATCAGGCCAGGCCGTCAAGTGGAACCCCGATGGGAAGCGACGAGTTGGACGTCCGAGGTGAGGGTGACATGGAGGAGATCGTGCGAGGAGGAAATGAGAGGTTGTGGGCTGTCGTGGAACCAGGTTCAAAAGATTTCAGAGAACAGAGTTCACTGGAGACGTGCTACTGAAGCCCTATGTTGCATTAGGAACCCAAGGGACTAATTATAATAAACTACTATAAAGTAGTTGGAAACCTTTCAGGTTGATCTGTAGATTTCGCCAGTGTTATAGTTGGAAAAGTGGCATACCCGCTAACAATGCACAGATATCGAGTGTCAGCCACCAACACTCAACAAATTCCTAGTTGATTCCCGACCCGACTAATTAATGGACGTATGAAAACGTGTATTGGGATCGAAGGTCCGAAGACTCAAAAACGTAGGCGAATATGACTTCACTGTCGATTGGCTGATCCTACATCTGTCTGTCTAACTATGGACGTGATAACATAAAGTACGTTTTGATTGGTTGTTATTCAGACTAGTCTTTTCTCTCTATCCTTACATAAGCCAGACAGCTTGATCAGAGTGATGTATTTCGGGTTTACTAGCTCATGCAAGTAAGCTAGCCACATTTAGGTGATATGAACCAATTCAGCTCTATGACATACAGTTGTCCAGATGCACTACATTTCATAAGTTTTAATATTGATCCCAGTGTGTTTAGAAAATCAAAACAAGATATTTTTTTTCTGAACGTTTTGATTTTCTAAACGCATTGGGATTATATTAAGACCTACTTATATAATGATTAAATCAGAAATGGTGCTCAAATTCTCCCAGAAAGTTCGTAACAAGTATAGGATGGATGTTTATAATATGAACCACATTTTGTTGAAACGTGTAGCATTAAAACAACAATTTTTCTTCTAGTCACCAAGATGATAAATTTGTAAAAGAGTATGAAAAAAAAATCATGCATGTTTTATGATGTTGTCAACTGTAATTTTAACGTGCATAAGCCCCCCTAGTTAATATGATTTCAGGACCCGCTGTTTATGAAGCTGTATACATTATTTAAACAAAACGCTGACAGTTTATTTCGAAACTGTTTAGTATAATGCTAAGAGTAATGACAAATATTCTCTGAACTTTTATCTCACTTTAAAACAAAAACAACAAATGTTCGGTTCTCATGACATGCTGATAAATATGCAAGTATTGAAAGGCTCTTTCGGTATAATTCAGGACTCTACAAGTGTTGTGACTGAGTGACTTAGTGGATAACCCCCTCTGGGACCCAACAAGATATGCTGGTGGTAAGATTGTACCCTCAAGGTCGTAACATACTAGGAAGGTTTGTTGGATAGCGGTTAGACAAAAAGTGGTTACCATTATAGTGCCAACTGCTTCACTCTGATGGGGGTCTGAGGGCGAAGTTGTACATCTGACTGAATAGGAGTCTGAAAGCAGTAAGATATTTCCCTTGGATGACCAGTACTGCAACACTGATGTTCCCTTCCGTTTGGGAAAGGAAGATTGGCCCCAAAATAGCACACTCATATCACGCCACAGCATGCCAATGCCTGTGACAAGGATTCATAGTTGGATTCGAAAGGAAACAGCCAAAGTCTCAAACTTACAAAAAAGCCGTGTGTGACCGACCTCAAACAGATGTCTCTTGGACTCTGTGGTCACGAACAAACTCTTCTTTCTCAGGCACTTCAAGAAGAACTAGCCTTTCAAGGTGTGGGCAGTCGGGAAATATCAGACACTGCCACAACTCCGTCAGCATTGAAGCTTTCTCAGACCGTTATCCACCTCCCACAACCATATACGCGCATAAACCTGCATATAATCAAACTATAAACACTTACAATAACACAATTCCAGTTCAACAACCGGTTACACTATCTAAACTAGTTATATATTTGTGTACAAAGTTAATTGTTATATGTATGATGTGTGTATTAAAAATATTAGCTGTCTACCTAAATCTTAAGAGATACTTTGGAGATTAACTGAAGCTATAAACACTAGTTGAAGCCAATTAACAGCTTTATTCCCACTGGATGATGGTATAGTAAGTGAAGTAACTATTAATAATGAAAGTAAATTGTCGAATAAAGACAAAAATAAACATTTCCATAATTTACCAATATTGACTAAATGCGTTATCTCATGCTCCAATGGTTCTAAGCTGTGGTGTTTGAAGCAATTGATCCAGGGTTCAAGCCACAGTGTGAACAAAATGAACGTCTTGATGGCCATTATTCATCATTAATATAAAGGCTGATATATGTTTGAACTTCTTAGCCTACACCAAGTTCCATTTACTTTTCTTACTTCATACATGATTACCATGATTCTTTAACCGTATAGTTGTATAATTCATTTAGGTTTTAGTGAAACTGATTTCTAATTAATGAGTCACAGGTTCGAACACTACTCGCAAACAATAGGTGTATGGTAATTAGAATTGCCAATTTATTAAGTGTATAAGTAAATACTATTGAGCAAAACACTTTGAACACGTTTGGATGATAATATGTAAGTGTCAGAAATGAAAGTTATCCAACTTTAAGAGAATGTATAGCCAGACATAAAAGTAAAGATACACGTCACATATATACATATAGACAAAGAATCATTGATAAACTTACTGTGTAGCATATATATAGAAACTGGTCAAATGTAATGTCATCAATTCAATGATATCTAATAGTAAACATGCAAATAATCCAAGCATTAAACGAATTATTGTTGAAAAGTATATCATAAATACTTTGATTAAGGATAAATTAATCATTTTCTCTTTATATAGCGATGATAACATATAAACTGTACTAAATATTAAACAGATAATTGTTGTAAAATTTGCTAAAAAATATACATTGAATGAATTGACTTCAGTTAATTGTTTTAATACACTTAATATATACATAAATAAATAGATAATAAATGTTACATATGAACGCCAAGCTAATATATGATAAAGAAAAAATTGTCCCATTAAATGAGCTAAATGAAGATTCATTTTTAAACCAGCTGGTTTACCACTTTCAAGCCATAATAGAAAACGTGTCAATTCACAAGTAAAATACTAAAATAGAAGAAAAAAAACAAAAAACAATATAAATATATACAGCATAAAATGAAACAACTATATATATATACACAAATTTATGCATTACATTGTTAATATAAGGGGGTAAAACTTGAGCACTGTGGTCGATTGTAATTCCATTCCTTCTCTGTGATGACAAGGATAGTAGAACTTTTCATATATCTGGAACACAGGTGCACATGCATTTGGTGTTGATTGGATAAACAAAGATTCGGTTATCAATCTCTCCCTCCCTCCATCCAACTAAGTTAGTTTTCAACACTGTCACCCCATCCCACCCTACTGTGTGATTGTGTGTCATCGCATGCACAGCCATAGTTGAGCTTTCCTCTAAACTTCTTATCTTATTAGGATCTACTTATCTTGATTTAGTCAAGTTTTTGTGCTCTATTATTCTAATCGACTAGTTTGCCCTCGCAATCGTTGCAAGGGATTTGGTAAACCAGATTAGTTTGCTTAGTTGTATCGACAGGATATTTTAATCTACAAAGCCTGTTTCTAAGTGAGTTTGTTGGTTTGAGTGTCACTTTAATCCCATTACCATTACTGGGGAATTGTTATTAATAACACCTGTAGTACTCCTACTACTAATGCTGCTAATATTTTCCATAAGAAATCGAAAGATAAATATTAGCAGTGGAAGTAGTAGTACTACAGGCGTTATTAATAACAATTCTACTACTAATGGCAATAATGGTGACGGAGTTGACAGAAAATTCAAAGCCACTGCTGTGTTATCATATAAAGAAGGCACATCAGAAGCATTACGAAGAATTCTCAATTAGGCTGGGATTAAAGTGACATTCAAACCAACAAACACACTTAGAAACAGGCTTTGTAGGTTGAAATATCCTATCGATGCAACTAAGCAAATTAATCTGGTTTACCAAATCCCTTGCAACGATTGCGAGGGCAAAATAGTCGATTAGAATAACAGAGCACAAAAACTTGACTAAATCAAGATAAGTACATCCTAATCAGATAAGAAGTTTAGAGAAAAGCTCAGCTATAGCTGTGCATGCGATGTCACACAGTAGGGTGCGATAGGGTGACAGTGTTGAAAACTTAGTTGGATGGAAGGAGAGAGAGATTGATAACCGAATCTTTGTTTATCGAGTCAACACCAAATACATGCAGTAATGGAAATCATTGTGCACCTGTGTTCCAGATATATGAAAAATTCTGCTACCCTTGTCGTCACAAAGAAGGAGAGAAAATTAGGAGTATATAAAGTCTATATGGAAGTTGTGGAGTTAGCTTTCTGATATGAATATGGACAATAAACTGTGTCGCAGACGTCATCCAGTAAATGTTACTGTTCTTTCACTGTGTGATGTTTCCAATAAACAGACAAAAATGGAATTACAACCGACCACAGTGCCCAAGTTTTACTCTTATATTAATACTGTACCACTATATGATAATTCTTTGAAATCAGTAAAAATGGAACTACGTCGTTAGTCATAGCTATTTTGGGACGGTCCGCTTAAACTCTGTGCTACCTTATTTTATCACAGTATATATTGTATCAAATTTCTCCTTTCCATATTGTTTTCATCATTCAGTTATATCGAACAATCGTATTGCATACTCTCGCGCGTTTTTAAAATCATTACAACCTATCGCTTTACAAGTTGATATGAAAATTAAGAAGAAGCACCACGGTGGATGGTAACGGGTTCTCAAGCTTATGACCATACATCAAATAACTAGTTCGAAAATCAAACTTGTCCACAAATATTTATAGAAACACGGGTGTAGTAATGCTGGAGGAAACATGGCTTCATAACCTTTATGACGATGACTTAGTCTGCTTAGATGGTTTCAAATTATTTCGACAACATAGAAGCCTTTCCAAGAAGAAATGTGCTAAGGATGTGGCCAACATTTATCAGTACGAACTGGTCCTCCTCCGACTATGTATGCTTCAGCTTCTCTAACGAAAAACTTGAGTGGATTACCATTAAATGTCGTCCCAAACATTTGGGGAGACACAAACATATACATATATAAAAACATTCATGTTACACGTGACTCCAGTTTCTCAGATTTGTCAACATTTCCTGATGCATTCACTGAATTTACTGCTCCGATTCTGAGTAACTCTTTCTCTATAGTCTGTGGAGATTCTGACTCATGTGACTACAGTTTCCTATTATCACTGGGTCATAAAAATATGGTTAACATTTCCACTCGTGTTGACACCCTTGACCTAGTATTTACAAATGAACCCAGCATATATGAATTCTGTAAATCGTTCCACTACTGTACGTGTTTTGCCTAAAATGTACGGCAAATTACACAAGAAAGCATTGGGACACCTTTCCACGCAAGTTCAATACAGATGCTATTTACAAGAAAATATATAACATTTGAGAAGCATGCTTATAGAAACAGACTGGGATATATTTACTGATGAAGTTTTAAGCAACACTATCATCAGTATCACAAGCCACCTCAGATTGTCGCAATATATGCTTCCCTGTTGAAACAATCTACATCAAATTCGTCAAACTTTCCTCTCCTCATCTAAAGACGCTCCAAAGAGAAAAGGAAAAGTTATATTAAACGAGAAATCATCCTACCGTTGAAACAATTAACTACCTAATTAAGTCTGAAATACAACATCTGAACACCACTTACAACCACAACTTCCTACCATGTAACAACTCTTCCAATACATGCAAATTATTTGAAGAGCTTACTCGTAGAAAACAGATGACAAAGGAAGCTTGTTCAGATGTCTCCTCGTTAAAAAAAGTCATCTATATGTTGACAAGCTGATTTCACCCTTCATAATGTCCAAAGACAAATGGATAGCTGCTTCCCACGTTTTAATACACATGTTACATTTCAATGTCTAAAATTCTTGAATCCATCCCAAGGATTAGGTCCTGATGGTGTTTCTAGTATCATATTTAGAAAATGTGCAGATATTTTATGTCATCCACTTACAGATATCTTCAGTGCATCGTCTTCTAAAAACACAATACCCACTACTTGGAAGCAGATAAAAATTGTACCTGTGCCTAAGTCATCTTCTGGATCGCATGTCACGTTTCCCCTTTTCTGAAGACAATAGACAAATTATTTCTCCTTGTGACTGAGCCTTCATTCATGGTTTTCAGACATTCAAAACAGTTTGCTTATAAACACAGGAGAAGTACTTTAGATGCAGCCACTGTCTTGCATCATAATATTGTTTCTACTCTCAACAAAGGTGTTAAGGATGTTCCTTGTGCCTTCTTAGATTACTCACCAGCCTTTGACTTTGTTCCTAGACCACTCTCGTTAAATAAACTTGCCATTGCTCATACTGAGCCATCGGTTACAAAGTGGTTGTATTCTTATTTTTCCGAAAAGAAACAGTATACTGTTTATGAAGGGAAGCGCTCGACTGCATTACTTACTGAAGCTGGTGTGCCTCAAGGTGCTACACTTCCACCTATTCTGTTCTCCTTCTGTTTGCACGATTTACCTATTCTGTTGAAACTAATTTCATTGAGTATGCTGATGACCTGATGGTGTGTATTCCAGTCAACTCTCCCTTCGATTATTCTCAATTAAATGAATTCTTGTCTGAAGTGGGTCAATGGTCTCTCTTAAACGGTCTCAAGTTAAATCCTTCTAAATTTCAGACTGTTAATCTTAGCCTGAGTCGTAGACAAGACTTATGTGAGCTGCTTAAATCTCATCTCACGCCCAACTCGTCGTTTCCCATTTGGGTTCCACTCGATGCACTGGCAATACCTGGCCTCGCCTGAAGCGTGATGTCCCCAAACCGTCTTTTCAGTGCATTTTCAATCTAATCCATTCCACTTCTTCTGCACATTTGTTGGGTATGGGTTCTTGGTTGGTTGGTTGCCAGACCAGAGTGGGTTCCTTCTTGCTGATTCTTATTATTCTGGCCATCTGATCTCCATCTTCAGAATCCAGTGACCGTAGGTGACAGCTGTTGATGGATGTCCGCAGTTTGTTGGAAATGCTTTTCGTGATACACCAAGTCTCTCAACCACCACATACAAACACTGAGTTACTTGACTGACATTAGTGTTGAAAATCCACATCTTGTTCAGGCCTCATGCTGAGTGCAGTGTAGTAGATCTCCACACTGATTTCATATTAATGAAGGCCTGTCTTGCTGTCTTTCCATCCTATCCTTGACATCCTCATCTGTGCCGCCGCCATCACCTGTAGTTGGGAGGATGATAACTGGTCAGGTGGGTGAAAGAGACAACTTCCTCAGATTTCTCTCGTTGATGCTGATTGGTGCTTGTTGTTGCTGTTGGTGGTTGGGCATCTTCATCACCTCCGTCTCCTCTACGCTCACCTGAATGAAGTCCTGTCTTCCTTCGCTGCCCTACCTCGCCTCTTCTGCCAACTTGTTGCTTTTCGCTTGTAGATCTTCAAGTTTTTGTGTCAGGACATTAGGCCTAAATCATCATCATCGGCAAAATCCAAATCTTCTTCTAGGGTTTTTCATCGGTCCAGCCAGCGTAGGCTTCTTTTCTCGCTCCCCACTGTCTGTTGCATGATCCAGTCCAGTCGACGAAAATCAGGAAGATTATTGGTGATAGTAGGCAGCCTTGTCCTACTCATGTCTTCACTTCAAAGGCATCACCGAGCTTTCCATTGTGAATCACTTGGCATGTAGCATAATATGGCATATAGCTGCTGAATGAGGCTGATAAAGGTTTGTGGCACTCAGTAGTGTTGAAGCAGCTGCTAAATTACTTCCCGGTCAACACTCTTAAAAGCGTTTTCAAAGTCGATGAAGTTGAGGAAGAGTTGACTGCCATTCTATACTCTGTTCTATAATAGTGAGTAGTGTAGTGTTGCAATTTGATCCGCATATGATTAGTTCTTCCTCAAGCCAGCCAGTCAGCCTGTCCCGGTCATAATTTTGCATCCAGTACATACTTTAGTCTCTCCGGGATGATGCGGCTAAATATTTTGCTTGCTTGGTGTAGACAGGAGCATGATTCCGCGCCAGTTCTTGCAAAGAATTAGCTCATGTCACCCTTGTTTGGAAGTTTGAAAAGGTAGCCATTCTTCCAACCAATCGGCAGGCACTTTTCTTCTTCTGCATATCCGCTGTTGTCGCTGCTTTTTTCCAGTGCTTCTGGCGGAATCTTATCTGGTCCTGCTGCTTTCCTGGATTCCAGCGACTTTGTGGCGTTCAGGACTTCACTTCTACTTGTGTTCACTGGTAATTCTGTGGCTGGGCTGCTGGTGGTATTTCTGGACGAGTTGCAGCTGGTAGTGGTGGTCGATTCAAGAGTTTTTGAAGTGGTCAGCCCCTTGTTTCCTTTGTTTCTCCTCTTTGGTAACTAGCTTTCATTGGTTTTATCTGCGTTGATCTCTTCCCTCTTAAATAGTGTGTTGTCAGGTCTCTCCTACATGCAACGTGCACAGTCTTCTGAACACTTTGAATGGCAATTGGAAAACGTTCCCAATCCGTTTCTCACTACTCAAATGAAAATTGTTGCTCCACGATTGGTCTTCAACGGTCCGACAGCCTAGTCGCCGTCTCCCTCGTCACACAATCTTCGTCGAAGTAGGTCCACGTCGGAAAAAGGCCCCACACACTAAGGCCACACTAAAACATGGCATCAATCAATGTATCAAGTGTTTGACTGTTGGTTTCAGTCATGTGGGGCGATGTAGACTAGTCGGTTGGGGGTCCACAGGACAAGAGGAACCAGTGGTTGGAGACTCTAGGTGATCACATGGCTGAGAACCGATTTCAGTGGCATACATGTATACACACACATTATCCTCATTTTAACGACGCTATACCGAATCTCACCATTTTCTCATTCTTCCTTCCTCTCTTTGAGTACTTGATATTTCTTTCGACTGGATTTTCTTATCTTCATCTCCCACTTCACTGGCTTTTTACTTGATGTAGTGATATGAGCTGTGGCAACTCGGACCGTTACGCGGTAATGCCTGGTCCTATGTTGGTATTGATTGATTGATTAATTAATTAATCTAGGACTACGCCTAACCTCCACGTTCGTCAAGTGAGGACTTCACGAAGTACGACCGATGCTACAAAGGCAGAGGTGATCGAACAAGTAGAACCTTTTCATGTTCTACACCTTTAATGGTCAGACATATCGTATGGGCAGAGAGGTTTGCTGTTCAGTATGCTCAACACTAATTAGGCAACGCTAATCAGTTCTGAAGCAATAAATTGTGTTTAAGAGATAAGAAACACATTCCAAGCATTATCAAAATGTCGACTAATAAATTCGAAAGACCCGAAACTTTTGTCACCATCTTCTTCTGAGTATTCTAAACCGTAAAGGTATACGACCAAAAAGGAGACCCTCATAAACACATTAAAATGGACATCCTAAATAGATACCACTCGACATAGACACCTTGCACGATAGCCTACTGTAGGCTATAAACAAGAGTGAGGGTGTTCGACTATAAAACATTTAGTAAGATGATGCACTTGCCATCCATCTGTTTCAACGAAATACTGCTATAGAGTCAAAAACCAACCTCAGGCCAATAAATTCACCAAATACTGAGTGCATGTATGTGTTCCAAGATCTGATAGATGATCTTTGCCGTCGTTTTCATAGCACCAGGCTTCAGGATGAGTCAAGTCATCATTATCAATATCAATATAGGACCAAGAATTACTGTGTAACGGTCCGAGTTGCCATACCTCATATCACTACATCAAGTAAAAAGGCAGTGAAGTGCTAGATGAAGATGAGTCATGACCCACTAACTGCCTAGCCAGTATCTATTCGAACGCATCTTCAGAATCCTTATCATTGAGATGAATTGGTAACGGTCTTTGGGTTATCATTTTCTTATTAACATTTAGTTTAGATGCTATAGCCTGCAAGCTTCCATCGTTGATTGGACCGAATTGATCGGCCATTATTGACAATATGGGCTCTTGTATAGATGCCTCGATATTGCCGATATTTTTAATCCTTGGTATTAATGATGCGATGCATACTGGCTAGTAGTAGAAACCAGGTAACAACCAGCACTGGAACCCAAATGCCAATAGTGGTCAATCAATTCGGTTCAATCAATGACGAAGGAGTGAGAATTCTTTATCAAACCTCTTCAGCGACAACTGGTGTATGTATACTGACGTTTGAGTTCAGTGAGTTCGCTCTGCTTTTTTTTATATAGCTGTGGCATAAGATCCTTGAAAGAAAATATCAAGAGGCTAAAGGTTCTCAACCATACGTATCTTTGTTAAGCAACCACCGTGTGAGGTTACGAATAGGTATCAAGCAATGAAATTTAGTTAGTCGATAAGATTATGAAGCCTCATGGAATACGGTGGTCATGTGTTGTGAATGGCAAGCCACCACTGTCGACTTCAACGTGCAATGTTAGCCAAAGTAGAATTAAGTTGAAAGAAATGTAAGTGTAAAGTAGAAAAAGATATGCCTTTAGCCCATGAAATCTCTGACTTCGAGTCTAAGTCGTGTAGAGAGTCAGTCATTATCTAACAAGAGTCCTCATATAGAAAGGAAGCAGTGGTTGGGAACTCTTGATGATGGATCACAATGATATGGATGACTAGCCTTTTTGTCATCATCATTTTGTGCACTCTCAGTAACCTTCATCTATTTGTCCTCTCCCCTGTTATACACCGTTATTGATTTCAACGTCACTTTTTATCGCTCCATTTTCAATTTTTTTACACTGCTATGAAACAACATGGCAACTTGAATTGATGCACTTCTGTTCTATATGCTGTATTGATTTGTCTTTCTGTCTGTCTCTATGTGACGTCAGTAGACATCATTATGTTCGAAATTCATGCTACCTAGAAAAAGGTGATTATCTAGGCATGATTTAAGCACGCAATCGTTACTATACGTCCACTTGACTGAGATTGCAAAAGTGTCACCTAAGTGTCTTTCTACAGTGACTGTGCATTGAAGCTGATAGCTGCAACGATCGCGTCTTAATATCTGACTTCTAGTAGGAGACTAGACTGTATGTGTATCTCAAAACACACAGAACATGTCCATCTTCAAAGATGTCAAAGTAAGCCAGTGAAGATTATTGACCAACTTTAAAGCTTAGGGAGATATTGCGGTTTCAAAAACCGACGATGGCATTCCATGAACTTGGATCATTAGCATGAATTGCACAGCTAGAAGATGTTAAAGATAATGCAGAATTACTAACAGAGAAAAAAAAACAATTTAGGAGGTAACAATAAAATAAAACGTTAGTGGTGATTAGAGAGATTTGAGGTCGATATTAATCCATTCATAAATCAACTCGCACATGACTTGAATACTAAACATAAGGCTGAAGATGAAATATACTTAAAGTAACAACAAGTATATGAATCAGATTTTCCTGTTAATTTTCTCTAACTATATCAACACACAATTTTCAACACCAACGTCAAGTCAGTACTTCTGTGTGATGGTTCAGAGACTTGGCGCGTTACGAAAGGCATTTCCAATAAACTACACACATTCATCAACAACTGCCACCTACGCTGGCTCGATACTGAAGATCAGATGGATTGCCAGAATAATAGAATAAGCAACAAGGAGCTCTGGGAACGAACTAACCAAGAATCTATCACCCAACAAATATGCACTGGAAGGAAGTGGAGATGGATTGGGTATACAATGAGAAGGCCGACTGAGGACATCACGCATCAGGCCAGGCCGTCGAGTGGAACCCCATGGGAAGCGACGAATTGGACGTCCGAGGTGAGGGTGACATGGAGGAGATCGTGCGAGAAGGAAATGAGAGGTTGTGGGCTGTCGTGGAGCCAGGTTCAAAAGATTTCAGAGAACAGAGTTCACTGGAGGCGTGCTAGTGAAGCCCTATGTTCCATTAGGAACCCGAGGGACTAATAATAATAATAATATCAACAAACATAAGGGGAAGTAAAAAAAAAAAGAAATTCTGATCAATTTCAATACATAAGATAGCACTTGAAATACACTCACTTCAGTACATCGATAGAGTACATTCATCCAACAATAATCGGGTGTTGGATAGAGATATTTGACTATATCCTCGGTAGAATTATAAAATACGAAAGAGTGAATGAAGTTGACAATGAAACTGATGACAATGATGTTGATAATGTTCTTCTAGTATAATTTTCTTCTTCATTATCTAAATAAAATAATCCCAATGTAGGAATTGTCTTACAATTTAAATCGTTTGGCAACCAATTAGCCTGAATACTGCTGCTGCTGCTGATACTACGACTGCTAGAGACAGCGGTAGCCGTAGCGGTAGTAACTTCACCTCCAGTATCTATAATCGGTGTTACTCGACTTGAATAATACGTATGCTTAGACGACGATGAAGTTGAACACATTGAATGATACAAATTATCAGCATTTTGTTTACAACATTTACCATTATTATAATCATAATAATTTTTATAGGGTATTGTAATTAGACATAATATAAGTATTAAAAGTTGTACAGCACCAATAATACTTAGACTAGCATCTGGTATATAAGGTAACTTTGATGAAGGATAACCATTTGATAGAGATGAAGTGATTATTATATTCCCATCAATTTTATCATGATTTTTACTCTTATTATGTTGAGTTAAACAATCTGTCGACAATTTCGATGTTGTTATATCAAAATGATATTGAATTAAAGAAAGAGTATAACTGAAATGGACAAGTTTATTGATAACTTTTGACAAAAACTCTTTGATCATTTCAATAAAATACTTCTTCTCTAGTTACACAGCCTATGAAAAGATATTTAAACAACAACAACAACAACAGCGATAAGTGAGAAACATTATAAAATATAAATCATAAACAGACCTGTTAAGAGATAGATACAATTAAAGTATAAAGAAAGAAGAGAGAACCTTCAAATAAACGCCTATTCATTCAACTAGATAGATGTTGTTAACAACTTAATGAGACTGATAAGTGTACAACATCTTTTTACACAGTTTATACCATTAAAGTATTGAATCAGAATAGAAATGATAGACTTGTGGTTGATGTAATCTCAGCTCGGATAACAACAACAAAAAATGTCCATTCACCATTTGATAACTTCAATCACATTTATGTCATCGATAAGATATCCAACTATCTATCTGTAAACTTAGACGTGAACACAGACTACAGCTATATTTTCACACTATTATATGTGTATGATGAAATCACTGTATGTTAGCTTAAGGGTTCTAACAATCTGAATGAAGCATAGTCTTTTCATCAATAAATTCCTTTCAGGTTCTGCAACTATAAAATCCATTTGTACAGTATAAAAACAAGTCAAGTTAGGAGCAGGTACATCTTCAAATGAAGTGGAATTTACGGATTGTAAAGAAATCGATTTATCTTTTCTAAATTAGTTAATATTGGAATGATACGTATACAGATGAATGAAGTGATAGTGAACAAAAAGATAACAAATAAGATGATAGGAGTGGCCTTTAGTTTACTGAAGGCCAAGGGAGAAGTAACGCTTGGACGTATTCTTTCATAATATAGAGTTCAGAGTTGATCAATCTTAATGTGACAGTCTCCACTGTGTTGAGCAGGCGTGTTATCACTTTCGGAATACGATGAATAACATTGAAAGCTTTATTAGCATCTATATGATACCCCATGTAGGCTAGATACGCTAGGACTGAATTTTTCACCACTTTCACTTCGCCCATTCCCCTCAACCAAGCTAGTAAATGCTCTTATATCTGAAGATGCACCTACCTGATCGTATGCCCTATGTAACTAGTTCCACAGGAACAGTTAGATTGATATATGCAAGATGAAGAGGTAAGATTAAGTAGGCTATCCTTTGTCTTGGATTGAGCATTGACCGACTACTGAATGATATCCAACGCTGACCTGCACAAAACATCTTTTTAACTGGTCTAGCTAGGTGCTCTGATAGAATGTCACTTACAACATTTCCCTTGTATTGTAAGCATAGAAACAAAGGCTTCTTCCCCACTGTCACCAATATTTGTTTACGACCAATGTGGTTGATGTTAGTCTTGATGAACTTGTCAGGATATCCATCGTCACTTAGAATATCATGGATACACAGTAGTTCTTTTTCCTTGGAACAAATCCATCTTACTCTAAAAACCAGGTACCTGATTACATTACGTTTGTACTTCATCGTTACGATGATGAGAAAGCGCCTATACTATATCTTCCACGTTAGTTTTCTATACATATACTTCTCAGTAGAGAGCCATCTTTGTTTCTCATTATTAGCACATGAATAAAATGTATCGAATCATTGATTTCACTTTCATATGTAAAATGAATTGACGGATGAGCAGTGTTGAAATGGTTCAGAATAGAATCAATACATATGCACCTATCAAAGACTCAAACAGGATCTCATGTATCAACAGTCCAAATCCACACTACCAATTTGATCTTTCAAACGACTATTTTCTAATTTTGCCAAAAATATATCTGTAAATATTGGGTCCAATGGAGATCCCATAGCCACTTCGCCAACTTGTCTATACAGATTACTGTTGAAGATGAACTAGATATTCATTGCACATTTTAGCAATAGTTCCTTCAAATTCATAATCACAATACCAATGTCTAACTTCCTTTCCAAATATAATCGACGATTCACATTAGTAGGACGTTAGTAAACAAAGATGTAACATGTAGGGATCCCCATGCATTTGCTTTTTATATTTTGTCTGCAAAGTGGAAGGTGTCTTTTACGGTATATTTTGCTAACTGATCAAGCAAAGGTTGAAGTAATCGTACTAGCCATATAGCAATAGCATGGTAAGGCGAGTTGGTCATGTTTAAGATAGGGCGAAGAGGCATTTCAGGCTTCAGATAAGACAAGAAAGTCCGCCAATAAGGAAAGACATTCTTCTCTGCAAAACTGTAGATCAGCTTTTCTAGTCAACAACTCATTCCAGAGTGCGTTAAGGACAAGTTGCCACCTTGGGGCACCTCGATGTGTGTCTACAGTTTTACTTGCTCCTGTGGAGCTAGTTATATAGGCCGCACAACGCACACTTTCCAAACTTATCTCGGAGTACTATCCTGCATGGTTATCAAGGGACAATGTAAATCAATTAACGCTTCAATTTTTGAACATTTGGTCAACTCTGAACATAAAGGTAGACCAGAATCTTCCTTCAATGTCATTTATCGTGTCAAATGGAATAGTACAAAAGGAGTACGCCCTCGAAAGTTGTGCACGGCGGAGGTACTGGTAATCTATCAATTCAAGCCTGATCGCTGCGTGCAAAAGAAGTATGTTTAATCTCTCATCTTACCATGGTCTTAACACTTCCACAGATCTTTATCGATTTCATCATAATTAATTAGTTTATTATTATCACCTTCATTATGACCCTTGTCTCATTCTTCACCTTCTTTACATCTGTCTATCAAGTGGACACTCAATATTTGCTTTTCTTATCTACCAACAATTTTCACCTTGTCAAACTCCTTGCCTTCCTTGATATTTCTACTGTCTTGGTTTTATTAAGCAACTACTTTGCATTCTTGATTCGGGGTTGTTTTTAGCACTAGGTTAATGATGTAATTATATCGTATTGTTCTATAATAGACTGTTTATATGTTTATGATATACATATAAATACGATTGCACAGAAAACGATATCGTCGAAAAGAAAATCCTCTTCGCTGAATTATCTCTTCTCCATGACTCAATGGTCATGTTTCGTAGTCGGTCGATAAGGTTGTGAACCTTGAGTGACTGAGATAACTTAGACGTGTACTGCATATGTTGAGCCACTACATACCTCGATGAGAAATGCTAGGGGAAGTTCTACTAGGTTTAAAGATGGCTGGGAAGCGAAACAGAGAAGTGGCAATAGTCCATGAAGTCTCTGACTGTTGGTTTGAGCTGTATAGCAGGGAGGGGAGGGTGTATAGATTATCTGGTTTGGATCTCCGAAATGATAGGAAGCAATGGTTACAGGGCCTTGGTGAGATGGCTGAAAGTCGGTCACAGTAGAGAGGTATTCACGTTTTGACGACTTCTAAAGCTTGAATATTCTCAATAAACTTCATCTTGAAACTCATTCTCCTCCTAAACACCTTCGTCTCTTTCTACTTACGTCTTCTTTATATGCTATTATGAAGTGTGGTGACATGAATTGATGCACTTGTGTGTGAGCTTCTACGTTGATTTTTTCTGTCTGTCTACATGAGACATTCACCAGTTTGATGAGTCGATGACCTGTCTTCATTTAGTCACTCTCACCAACTACCTTACAAACGAATCCTTCTGCAACTGTATTCGTACATTAAGGTAGTAGATACAGCTTCAGAACTTTTCTTAGCTCACCTTTCTGACGTAATCAGAGTAAAAACTTTCAGATGTCAAAGTGGACATGCTAGTATGCAACCACTGAGATGGAAATCAATATCAATTAACATAAAGTATATAACGCAACCATCATTGAACATCGTCGGTGTGCATTTTTGTTCTCAAATCCCAACTTCAATGACCATATAGAATATCGGTTTTTTCATTACAACGATGTAGAGTATAGATTCATCTCAATACGATTTTTCTTTAAATAGTGGATTGGAACTAGTTGCTAATGATGATGAAGTACCCAGTGTATAAGCAAAACAAGAATATCCTAAGCATTCTATTTCCGGTAATTTAAATGGTTGTGGCTAACAGAGGAATCTAGGACGCGTATTTCGTCCTATTCAGGACTCGTCAGTTCGATGTACGTGCATCTCAGTGAGTATGACTCGAATCTCGTACCTACCCCTTCAAACACAAAGGCGTTATCCACTACGCCACAGAAGCAACATAGCCACCTCCTGTACAATGGCTATTAATTATTACTATTCATTGATATGTTTGTAGTTCTGCATTATTTTACTGGATCGAATTGTTCGACCTCTACGAGGTTCGATTCTCAGTGAGAACAATATCACTCCATACTGGGATGCACGTACATGTAAATGATGAGCCCCAAATAGGATAAAACACGCACACCCTGGATCCCCCTAATAGCTACAACCAAGTAAATTACCATAATTAACAGTCAGGCAATATTGAGGCATCCGCATAAGAGCCTATTAGAGGTGGAACAATCTAATCCAGTAAAACAACAGAAAATTACAAGCATATCAATAAGTTTAACTATTTACATTGAAAATAATATTCAATTAAAATGATAATGAATGACATATATATGAGCAAAAACAAAAAGATAGTACAACTTAAGTAATAACCTACTTCATTTTATAAGTGTATTGAAAAGTAGAAGATGAACTAGACGTATGTTTATTAAACCAACAAATAAGTCTGTTCAACTGTTCACCAATTTCCTGTTCCATAATATTCTGCATTCCATTCAATAAAGTTATGGAGGCATTATTCACTTCACTACTATTATTATTATTATTATTATTATTATTATTTATTATTATTATTACTGTCGTGATTTTCACATATCTTAGCATACTTCTTTATAACACCATGGTTCAATGATAAAGGTAATACATTCATATCCAGACTAATCCATACCATATTGTATCATTGCTATTTGATAGGGGATAGTACCTTTGAATACATGAACTAAGGAAAGATATGCAACAAGATATAAATATTGTAGATAAAATAATAATCAGGTATGATTGTAAATCTACAACTAACTCCATTTTTTCATAATAAAAATTTCTAAAAGCTGAACATTAGTTTACGCCACCTACAGTACTACCATGACATCCGATTGTCTATCAAGAGTCGCATGTACTCCACAGCACTCCACTCTCTTCTACATTATCGTTGTGAAACATAACCATCAAAGGTGGAAGACATGAAAAGGCTTCAGGCGTTTGACCACCGTTGTCACCTTCGTAGTATACGCCATATTTCGTGGTGTCACCACGTGAGCAATGCACAAGTCAGGCTCAGGCGTCGTAGACTTATAGGCAGAAGAGGTAAATCAGTTGACATGGTTGTTGTGAACCTCATCAACTCAGATGCTTGGCTCCGACATGTACCACGTATGCCTAGTCGCCGTCTCCCTCGTCACACAATCTTCGTCGAAGTAGGTCCACGTCGGAAAAAGGCCCCACACACTAAGGCCACACTAAAACATGGCATCAATCAATGTATCAAGTGTTTGACTGTTGGTTTCAGTCATGTGGGGCGATGTAGACTAGTCGGTTGGGGTCCACAGGACAAGAGGAACCAGTGGTTGGAGACTCTAGGTGATCACATGGCTGAGAACCGATGTCAGTGGCGCAATTGTATATACACACATTATCATCATTTTAACGACGCTATACCGAATCTCACCATTTTCTCATTCTTCCTTTCTCTCTTTGAGTACTTGATATTTCTTTCGACTGGATTCTCTTTTCTTCATTTTCCATTTCATTGCTTTTACTTGACGTGATGATATAAGCTGTGGCAACTCGAACCGTTACGCAGTAATACCTCGTCCTATGTTGATATTGATGATGATGATGATGATGAGGGAGAGGAGGAGGATATGAGCTGTGATAGCAGAGTTTTATTCCAAGTTTTTCCAGATCAAGTTTTCCAAGTTTCTCCATCTCTATCGCTTTCGTCACTCACCACTTCTCGCAATCAATGGAAAGACTTATAGTCAATTTACGCTTAAGTTGCTTTCGCTCCTCATAGTGGTCAGAGCTTAGTTGGAATCACTTTTCTCACATCACTCAGTTCGGATGATGTCACGGAAATCCAACGACATTCGCTAACCTTGGGTGCATATTAACAATTGTCTTTACCGCTGTTTCTACATCAGACTCAATATCGCGCCAGGTACCCTCAAGATAAGCATTGCTGTCACGTTGAGATAAATCCTTAGCTACCTCTTTCCCCAATGCGCACTTGATACCCTCATCTTCCAACCGACCACAGACGGGCTTTATCACCGCCTGTTTCCTGCGACCAGTAAGGCGTAAACATACACGTGATCGGAGACCAAATTCATACTCAAGAAGAAGCAGCAATCCTCTAATGGTTCTCTTCAACATCAGCGTATAATCATGTCATCCATCTGTGTCCATCGTTGGTTTAAAGTCGGTACTTAAAAGTTATTGCTGACCAGAAACAAGTGATTGTCGAAATAAATTGCAACAGAAGATCACCGTTATCGGTTCGTTGGTATAGGATTCCATAGATACCTTTCCGATTGCCTCAGCTTCCTACTTGAGCAAGCCTGACCAATACGTCAATGTAGCAGCTATCAGCCGGGACATTCATTTTCGTGTGACAACCAATGAGGCACACTTATTGTGTGATGACTAACACACACTACCTGGTTGCCCAAAAAAACCTCAGGAAGTGGGGTGGGATTTCAACTCATATACACACCACCTTACGAGATGACAACTACAACAACGTAGTCACTATTTTAAGCCATAAAAGTAGGTGTTCGCATAATTATAATATATAAATATTAAAATTGTTAACAGATATATAATAACTCACTGGTGAAAATTATATTTCCTAAGGCTTTTTGCACAAATATGCAGAAAATCCGTAGAGTCAACTTTCATGCCTGAATATTTGAAGAAAAAAAAGGAGAAAACATGAGGGCAACACCATCATTTACTAGGAAATCAGTTAGTTGACTGTACCTGACAAGTGCCTTATTGCTTATTCGTTTGGCTAGAACATTTGGGTCGAGGAAACAGCAAATGAAAAATAAAAGTAACAGTGATACACCCAACAAATAATTAGTAAAATGGTTAGAATAGATTTGCTTAGAAATATTTGAACAAAGAGAGAAACTATTAATGCATAGTAGCTAGTAGTGAAATCCAGGATGCGTGATTCGTACTATTTAGGGCTCACTAGTCAGTAATGCTGTTCCTACTACGACTTGAACCAAGAAACCATCGTAGCAAATATCAGAGCGTTATCCACTAAGCCCCATCTCTTGTGTGATATGTATAGTAGTTTTTTATGTTGTCTTATTTGGGACTCACTAATCAAGTAGATGTACCTACCTCCCAATGAGCGACGTTGCTTTCACTAGGACTCGATAAGAATCACTTCAAACGTGAGAGGGTTATCTACTAGACATCCTAGACTCCACTGATAGCCACTATTCATCATTAATATGAAACTGAAACGGCATACATTATCGAGGCATCTGCGCAGGAGCCTATATGCCAATACACACCGATCAATTCACTCCAGTCAACGATGCGATAATACAAACAACAAAGTGAATCAAGAGATTAGTAAGCCCAAGGCTTTATCTGATTAGTGAGTCCATAAGGTTGAATAGATCTATCCAAATCAACATAGGACCCGGCATTAATGCGTAACGTTCAAGTTCCACACCTCATATCAGCACATCAACTAAAAAGACAGAGAAGTGGAAGATGAAGAAAAGAAAATTCAGTCAGAAGAAATATGAAGTATTTCAAGTTGGCATTCATCGTAGACCGACATCAGTTGGAGGAACAATGAAAACCTGGGAGCATGGGACAACTGTTTCGTCCTCGTGTGGGACTCAGCAGTGCGCACCCAACGACCCCGCCAGGTATCGAACCTGCGACCTTCAGGTTCCGTGGCCAGCAAGATGCCATTGAGATCCTGGGTCGGAATCCAATAGTCCATATTTCCAACTTCCGTCAGTTCACGACATAGCGAAGTCGTGACCAGGGGGCGGGTCATTGGGTGCGCATTATCGAAGAGTCCCATCCTAAGACGAAACAGTTATTCAGTGCTTCCAGGTTTCCGTTTATCCTCCAACTTATGTCAGTCTACGATGAACACCAACTTGGAATATTTCTAAACCCCTAACACTCTATCAAAATATAAAGTACTAAAAGAAAGGAAGGAAGAATGAGAAAATAGTGAGATTCGGTATAGCATCGTTAAAATGAGGATAATGTGTGTGTATACATCTGTGCCACTGACATCGGTTCTCAGCCATGTGATCACCTAGAGTCTCCAACCACTGGTTCCTCTTGTCCTGTGGACCCCCAACCGACTAGTCTACATCGCCCCACATGACTGAAACCAACAGTCAAACACTTGATACATTGATTGATGCCATGTTTTAGTGTGGCCTTAGTGTGTGGGGCCTTTTTCCGACGTGGACCTACTTCGACGAAGATTGTGTGACGAGGGAGACGGCGACTAGGCATACGTGGTACGTGTCGGAGCCAAGCATCTGAGTTGATGAGGGTTCACAACAACCATGTCAACTGATTTACCTCTTCTGCCTATAAGTCTACGACGCCTGAGCCTGACTTGTGCATTGCTCACGTGGTGACACCACGAAATATGGCGTATACTACGAAGGTGACAACGGTGGTGAAACACCTGAAGCCTTTTCATGTCTTCCACCTTTAATGGCCATATTTCCCAGCCATACAGTATAACAGACCGGACTGTTGTGCAGTATATGACACCGTAAATAGACAATTGGATATCACGGTGGCGCCGTAGATGGGGTCAGTTGGCGAAAGTGAGCCGAGCCTTTTCGGATAGATCTATATAATGAACTGATTCGAATAAAGTGATGAGCAAGAACAACAATCAATGAATATATTTACTTGTTTACAATCGGTCAGCCATTTTAACAAATATAGGCACTTTTACGAATTTTTGGGTAGTTAATCTTCTCAAATAACGACGTTAAGATATAAGTCAGCATGGATAAACTAGCTATAGATATATGGATAGGAACAAACTTCATATTTATCCACACGTAATATTATTAGTTGAAATTATAATTCTATTTTGTTCTTTAGTTACGGTTCTCACTAGCATCAAACAATTCTCCTACTAACGTGAGCTTCACTTTTGATAGTCCAGTCGTACATGACAATGATGAGTCCGCGAAATTACGAACCACTGAGGCCTAAAGGAAATGATTGCATAGAAGATGAAATATCACCGTAGACCTAAACCAGTTAATTATTCATTGTTTTGACTTAAGTTCTACAATTGAGTCAGTTGATACTGCAGTAAAAGCAATGTTAGTGTAGACATTTCACGTCAGTGATAAACCGTCTTCGTAGTATAAGCTGTATTTAGTGGTGTCATCGCGTGAATAACCCAGAAGTTCGGCGTTTGATAAAGGAGAAGTAAGTCAGCTGATGCGGGTGCAAACCTTCATCGATTGAGATGGCTGGTTCGGACATGTGTTGCGTATGCCTAGCCACCTTTCGCCTCGTCACATGTTGGCCGAAGTAGGTTCAGGTTGAAAAAACGCTCGGGTAGCCAGACTGAAACATGGCATCAATGCATGAGGTTGTTGACTGCTAGTTTAAGCCATGTAGGGCGATGCAGATTAGCCGGTTGTGGTCCGCGGGACAAGAAAAACCAGTGGTGGGATACTCCAGGTGATATGTATGAGAACCGAGGTCAGTGACGCAGATATTTGCATACATCTTCATCTCTTTCACTACTTCTTATTGCTTTTGGCCGACTTTTCTTCTCTTCTTCATTTTCCATTTTATTGCCTTTTTACTTGATGTGCTAATATGAGGTGTGGCAACTTGGACCGTTATGCAGTAATGCCTGGTCCTATGTTGATCTTGATGATGAAACCGTAATTATGGTCGGAAAAACTCTGTGGATGCATAGACATTATTAGTACACTTTAAACAAATACCTTTATTACCAGTAGTAAAAGATGAATGGCGGTGAAGCTCTGTAGTCTACTCTATAACAGTATCACTTTCCTGGATTTGTTTAAGAGTTTGTGTTATCAGACTACGCCTCTTTCGCCAAAATGGTTGGATGTATACTGTCAACTACAAGGTGAGCAAGTTGATGAGTTCTTTGTCCTATTTTGTAGGCTCATACGTCAAGCGTTAACTTGTTAATACGTGACTACACTTAAACAACTTTCAAACTTAAAACTGGTGCTCACTCTGTGTCAATTAGTCTCGCAACATATATTCACATATGTTATCGAGTAACTTCAAACACCAAAACATTGGAACCAATTAAATATTTTGCTTCTAGTAACCACCTGTTACATAACAAAGTTGTGATTTACCAGATTATTAGTTAGTCAACTTTTAACCAGTGAGTTGAAACTCATTCCATCACCTGTGAGGCATTTAGTAACCAGGAGGTAGTGCCACTACACCCCTACACGCATACATACAAAATAGGTGTGGCTTATTGCAAACTACATACAGTTGCACACGATCATTGAGTTGCATGCATACAATCAACCTCTGATAAACCCATGAAAATTATGCATAGTGAGTTAACTGGATTACCTCGACTTTATTTTCAAGTACTGTGGAGTCATAATCTACGATGCAGTAGTAGAAAATAATGTTTCACCTCAAGTAAGCATAATTTTCTATTGATAATCATGAAATATGAATAAATATGTGTAGGCAGTAGTCTTATGGCAATGTCTCTAACTGAAAGGCGTGTCGAGTAAGTACATTAGCTTATTGAAGGCTCTCTACTCGAACGCTTGTGGACGTGTTAGAGCCCTTGGTGAGATGTCCGAGGAGCTATGCTCATCGAGTGATGTCCGCCAATGGTGACTACTGTCTCCATTCCCATTTATTTTTATCACAGATATTCTTATGGAGGCTTCCCTCTCGTCACCTGATTACACAGACGTTGACCTAATCACAGGAGAATTTTCGTTAGACCTAGAATATGCAGATGACATAGTCCTGTTAGGTGAAGACGCTGACAACACGCACAGTCTTTTGAAAACGTTGAATGGCAATTTGAAAACGTTTCCAATCTGTTTCTCACCACTCAAATGCAAGTTGTTGATCCACAATTGGTTTTCAATAAAGCCTCGGCTAACAGTACATAGTGTAGCAGTTGAGTGTGTTGACCACTTCACTTACCTGGGAAGTGGGATCGAACCTGGCGGCTGGCTCAGTGGCTGATGAAACCTCTCAGCGGATACAAAAGACTCGGCCAGCTTTCGCCAACTTACGCCACATGTGGCGCCGCCGTGATATCCAATTGTCTATCAAGAGTCGCATGTACTCCACAGCACTCCACTCTCTTCTACATTATCGTTGTGAAACATAACCATCAAAGGTGGAAGACATGAAAAGACTTCAGGTGTTTCACCACCGTTGTCACCTTCGTAGTATACGCCATATTTCGTGGTGTCACCACGTGAGCAATGCACAAGTCAGGCTCAGGCGTCGTAGACTTATAGGCAGAAGAGGTAAATCAGTTGACATGGTTGTTGTGAACCCTCATCAACTCAGATGCTTGGCTCCGACACGTACCACGTATGCCTAGTCGCCGTCTCCCTCGTCACACAATCTTCGTCAAAGTAGGTCCACGTCGGAAAAAGGCCCCACACACTAAGGCCACACTAAAACATGGCATCAATCAATGTATCAAGTGTTTGACTGTTGGTTTCAGTCATGTGGGGCGATGTAGACTAGTCGGTTGGGGTCCGCAGGACAAGAGGAACCAGTGGTTGGAGACTCTAGGTGATCACATGGCTGAGAACCGATGTCAGTGGCACAGATGTATACACACACATTATCCTCATTTTAACGATGCTATACCGAATCTCACTATTTTCTCACTCTTCCTTTCTCTCTTTGAGTACTTGATATTTCTTTCGACTGGATTTTCTTACCTTTATCTTCCACTTCACTGGCTTTTTACTTGATGTAGTGATATGAGCTGTGGCAACTCGGACCGTTACGCAGTAATGCCTGGTCTTATGTTGATATTGGTGCTGATGAGGCAGTAGTGAGGATTATTACACTAGCTAATACAACCTGACATTATTTAATAATGAGGAAGCCATAGCTTTAAATGCAACGATGATTAGGATTTTTGGAAATTTATTTATTGATCTCACATTGGTATTCATCACGAACTAACACCAATCGGAAAAGCATTGAAAAGCTAGGAGCACTGAACAGCTGTGTCGACCTAATGTGGGACTTCTCAGAAGCGCAAAATTATGACCCGACCAAGGATCAAACCTAGGACATTCAGGTTCTGTGACCAGTATGTTACCATTGAGCTACTGGGTCGGAAGCCAATGGTACACATATTCCTACTTCTGCTAAGTCAGTGACATTGTTGAAATGACTGTCTTCACGTACGACTTGCTTTGACGCATTGGTCATGACTTCTCATTAGAACTTCGGGAATCCCTTCTTGAAGCGAGTTGTTAATCAGTAATGGGTGTTATTAACTCAACTTGGATCAGCATTTCCATGTGCATTCCTTTAGTAAGACAGATGACAGTATGAAGCTGCTCTGAACTCAAATACATACAGAATAAGAATAATACTCAGCACTAGGTAGCCATTCCCACTTTTCATCTTTTTTAAAATATTATCACAAGTTATAATGACGACTGTGATACTATCGGGCATCCAATTTTTAGTTGTTTAGAGATCTTCTATGAAGCCAAAGGTTCAAATTTCTTATCCATAAGATAATAAACCAGTGTAATTTACATTTTTATGGTGACTTAAACAAGTTTAAATGAAAATTGTCCTTTTGAGTTATTCATTCAAACCCAACTCCACTTGTCAAGGTTTCGACGGAAATGTGTTATCATGTAGCCTTATACAATAAATTTGACTAACCATTAAATGTAAAATCATCCAAGTGGTTGGCAGATTTCATCCATGATGACAAGTGTATCGGAGCAGATCAAAGTAAAACTGTAAGTCTGTTTCACATTTGTTGACACTTATAAGCACAACACCTGCTTGAAACCTTACGAGAATCTATGCTGATTTTAAATATAAGGTAATCGGTATTCAGACATATATTGATACTCAGCTGTTCTGATAACTTACCAAGTAGTAACCAATTTGTGAAAATATCTTCAATGTTATGGTGTAAAATAAAAACTTTACTAACATGTACACAGTAATAATGGTACATCCAAAGGTATTTCTAATCTGTTAGTTGGACGGAGGCAATCTGCAGCAAACCCTGCTCCACCAAGGTTTCATGCTTTTTGGCATCCGTCAGCAAGGTGTATCAACAACTCCTACGGAAATGATGTCCCGCCTGAGATTTGAACCAGCGTCACCCAGACGTTATCATTGAGCTATTCCGGCCACGACTGACTTCCTGTACGACTGGATTAAAGCAGATTGATTGGTCACTGGATAGTGACAAACTTCATGCTGTCTAGTCCTAAATGCTGATTGAATTCTATCGACCAGTACTTAGGACTAGACAACATGAAGTTGTATTTCTTATCATTATGAAGTATTAATAGTTTGAGAGCACTGTTAATGTGTTCTGATGATTAGTACGAAACATACATATATGTGAAACAGGATTACACCTATGACCTTGTGATCTTTTGAACAGTATGTTACAATAGGATCAGTGATCAAGAGTATTCAACTATAAGTAACGTATGAAGCAGTTTGACGAACACTCCAGATTAATGCTTATCCGTTTGCACATCGAAGTTGCTTAGTCCTAAAGGTTAACATTTGTTAACAGTACTTTGAAACAGATCAAAAATTAAGTGGTAGCAGGTTCACTATTGGACAGACAGACAGACAAAATCAACGTAGAACCTCACACACAAATGCACCACCTTACAGTAGTATACAAACAACAAGTGGATACAAAAAGACTCATATCAAAGTAGACAAAGTTGTGTAAGAGAATAAACAGTTTGAAGATGAAGATTGGTGCAAATATTCAAGCTTTAGAAGATGTAAAGAAGTGAATACATCTGCATCATTGTGACCGACTTTCAGCCATGTCAGTTAGTCCTCAACCCCTGACTCCTTGTCTCGAGGACCCCAGCCAGGTAGTCTACATATCCCCACATGACTCAGACCAATAGTCAGAGACTTCATGGACTGGTGCCACGTTTTGGTCTGGCCACTCTGGGCCCTCTTCCAACCTAATCTAATCTCCCCTAACATAGCACACCAAGGTAGGCGATGGCTTGACATGCGCAATACATATCCAAACCATCTCAGTCGACTGAAGTTCATTGTGAAACTTCAAACTCCTGTAGTTAGCCCCACTCCGAGTTAAGGTTGTCTGTTACTGACAATTAAAAAGTAAGAAGGAAATTCTACCTCACTTAAACTCTGATTTTTAATGGTTTCCCAAGTAATTTCAGTCAATACAAGATAATAACAAACAATTTAACTGATAAAAACTGGCTTACAGCAGCTGGAACATAGTTGTTCACTTTCAGTTGAGGAATTATAAAATCCTAGAATCAATACAACATCATCGTGAGCTGAATTTTGTGAATCCGAATGTATTGTATAACCCAAGGAATAGAATATAGAGTTCGACTTGGATGCATTTCTTAACATATCATGTTCAGTTAGTTCATATGGAATGAACAAGAAGGTTTTTTTTCTTCTACTCATCTTTTTCAAAATTCGCTTTGGAAATAAAACTTAAATGGAATGCAAAACAGGACAACAACATATGAGTTTGAAAGGAAACGTTGATAGCGAAAAAGATTTAAACATATAAAACGCTTGAATTACCAAATTCGAGCTCTGATAACTGAGCAATGTGATCTTGATTTCAACTCAGTCACCAGAAATCCACCCCCCCCCCCCAGTTGTCTTATAAATTCTGCAGTTACTCAGGCTTCGTTCCGAATTCTGTCACCATCTCACATTCAGACTGGTTTGTTTAAACTACGGTTACTTCACTTCGTTAACAGAAAATGAATCGGTTAGCTGAATGTCTTGTCATTAACCATTACTGAATAGAGTTAATGATGAAACATACCATGCAAAAAGAATACGATACGCAAAATTAACGTAGAACCTCGCACACAAATGCACCACCTCAATTTGTTACACTTCATATCACTACATCAAGTAAAAAGCCAGTGAAGTGGAAGATGAAGGTTAGTGCGAATATTCAAGCTTTATAAGATGTCAGGGAGCGAATACATCTGCACCACTGTGACAGATTTTCAGTCATGTCATCAAGGGTTCTCAACCACTGATTCCAATCGTCCCGAGGAATCCAACCAGGTAGTCTGCATCTCCCTAAGTGGCTCAAACCAATGGTCAGGGAATTAATTGACTAGTGTTTTGTCTCGGTCTGGCAAATATTGTTATTAGAATACATACATGGTATAATAAGGAAACCAAGAAACGCACCACACAAAATAATATAACAATATTATGAAGACATAAAGCGAAGGGAAGTGGGTGAAAGAAAAACACAATAAAACTCAAATGATTAGATGGGAAGTCTAGTAAGATACATTGAAAACATTCATTACTATTCAGCAGCAGAAGATAGAAGGAAGCTACAACATGACCACCACTGGTTTCGATTCTAAACAATATCTGACGTCTCAACGCACTCAGTTCCGTGATCTCTCAGACCCCACTCAGAAAGTCGTGATGCACTAACAGAAGCCAACGAGATACAACTATTCTTCAACCTATGGTGTCACGTCACACACTGACTACCTATCCGCTTCTTTCATCCACTCCCAGGGCCAGAAAACAATGAACGACACAGAAGCCATTGAGATTATATGCGTAACACATGTCCATGTCACAGAAGCCAGTGTTTCCAGACGACTTCACTTACTAAATGACGATTTCCATCATTCTGTCCTACCTCAGGATTACTTACATGGCGTTGCCACCAAATACGAGAAATCCTACGGAGACAATGATGATCGAAAACACAGAGTCGTCGCACATCCTCAGATTGGAGAGACCAGGTTACACAGGTGTAGAACAGAACTGCTTGCACCAAAGTGTTGAAAGCCCGACCTTTTATGGTCAGACTAACGTCGCGACAGCGCCAAAGGTGACCAAAATCGGCGCATGCCACTCTAGTTTTCGATAAATAGTTAGAAATTTCATCACAGACCTCCACCAGCACTCACACAACTACCCAGTTACATGAACATTTCCACTCGAAAATCCATTCACCAATCTTGTGCACGTTCGTGCAGTAGGCAATGAACCACACCCATCATATAACAGCTAGTGATACTACCTGGCTACCCAACCCCAGTAGGTGGAACGGGCTCAAACAATCCGACTACTTTCAATGGCTCATCTCCGAGGGTGAGTGTGGACGCAGGCTCCTGCAAATCTTGCAAAAGTACTTTGCACTTAGATGGTATAAAGCACATACCATACTTACGGACACCCTGAGCTCTTTTTCAGCTTCATCCAACTTCCACTAGCATGACACATTGAGGCAGGTATAACTCAAAGTACATAGATTTAAATCAGGAGATATCCCTTCCTCCTACATTGAAACTAGGCAGTTTATAAGTAAGAAGCACAATAACTAATATGAATTGACAAATATCACTGATTGAAATGCTTGAGTTACAGAAGCAGACAATGAGTATGTCAAGTAATTTATTACTTCGTCAAAATAAAAGTTATCTAATGTCCCATCAATCTGGAGCACTACCCTCCAGGTGTGAACTGTAATCCACCTCATATTTAGGACTCCTACATATGTGCTGATGACTATAACTTTCGATTCACCTATCGCTGGTGTCGTTTACCCGTGATACAAACCGTTTATTTCGATAGATTAAGATCCTAAAATTTTAATTATGTTCACTTCCTCCACTTAAAAACCTGTTTATTTCATATAATTGAGTTTAAGATAAACCGTTTTCGAAAAATCTAAAGATTCATGATATATCACATTCATTTGGCGTCATTTAAACTGTGAACCATGAAAGAGCCAAAATCCAGAAGTAGACACTAGTTTTTAAACTCCTACCTTCTTTCCGTTGTATTCTGAAATCTGACACCGATAATTCCTCTTCACTATTTTCTAATTCATAGGTGAATTGGATTGCGTTGACTATTCAGTTTATACGTGTGAGTAAAATATGTTTGTGCTCCGATTTCAACACTAAACATGTCTACATATCAAAACTATACTTGTGGAGTCAGATTAAATGTTCTTTCAGCCACCCGTTCCCAACTATCCAAAAAGATGTCAGCCACAATAGACGATATTAATGATCCCATGGCAACTTCTGTTTGTTTGCATATTTCATTCTCAAACTTAGAGACTGTGGAGGTTAAGCGTAGCTGTACTCCTAGCATGATATCATCTGGTACCTTAGTTCGTAGTGTAAGTTCATGGCCATTACTGAACTCGTTTCCAACTGCTTCAAGAGCCATGCCAATCAGTATAATAGTATACAAACTAACTACATCAAAACTAACTATTTTTCATTATTATCTAAATGTTTGTCATCTAGTCTATGCTTCAAGCCGTAAGAGTAAGTAAGTCCCTATTTAGAACGGTTTCTAATTGGACCCAGTACAATCGCTAAATATGTAGATGTCATGAATAGGTGTTTCTAAAGTCTAATATGGGTCTAATAGGATAATCTGGATTATGAATTTTAGTAGTACTATAAATCCTACTGGGATTATTAGTCTTCGGCATCAATTAAACCATCTCAACTCACCTAGAGACAGCTTCCCCCAGCCAATTCAAAACCTCTACAATATTACGAAGCAAGGAAGGCACCTCAAAATCATCACATAGGATTCTCAATAAGGTGGGGATTAGAGTGGCATTTAAACCTACAAACTCACCTAGAAATATGCTTTGCAGGTTAAAAGATGCTGCTGATCCAATTGAACAGAATAATTTAGTTTACCAAATCCCTTGCAACGACTGGGAGTTCAGATACATCGATCAAAATAGTCGACCAGGGTCAAAGAGACTATCTGAGCAAACAAACCTAGATAGGCCAAAACTGGTGTATCCTACTAAGATAAGAAATCTAGAAAAGAGCTGAGTCACTGCTATGCATGCAATCACACACAACTACACAATAGGATTGGGAAGAGTGAAAATCCTTAAAACTAGCATAGCAGGATGTAGGAAGAGACATACGTGAATCTTTGTTGATCGAATCAACACCTAATACATGCAACAGGAATGACTGAGCACTTGTTCCGAATATATGGAAAAGGTGAAGAAGTTAGAACTTTATGAAGGATGCATCAAAGTTGTGTAGTTATTTCGATTAATATGGACAATAATTGTCTAGTAAACAATACTATTCCACTGTGTGATACATCTAGTAAGTTAACTAAAACAGAATTACAATCCACTACAGTGCTCAATGTTTACTCTCATATGATGTGCACGTGATTTTTGATCTGGCTACGGCTTCTGATATCGTCGTATACTATATCCTCCCTACTGAAAATCACTCAGTTGCTATTCTGATCGGGAGGACTACTCCCATCACTTAAAATTCACGTGGGACCTGACATTACTGCATAACTACTTAAGTTGTGTGGAGCAACTATCCAGAAAGTGAGGAATGCTGTACTTAAGTTAGTAGAGTCTGCCCGATTCGGAAAGCATTATCTCCAGCGAATCACATGGAGGTATTCTTTGTTGTTCCTAATACTTAAGAACGACCCTTTGTGCAGTCTAAACTGTAAACATTTGAGGAACAGGTGAAAATTAACGGAATGATATTTAGCCTAGAAAAATGCCGGATGTTTTTCTGCACTCCTGATTTACAGTGTTTCACTCTTTGCGGCACCCGCCTTTCTAGAACAACTAGTGAGATGTTTGAGTCTAATATTGAGTGAAAAGTTTGATTACCTAGGAGACACCTCCAAGGCCTGCATGGCAGTACATTCTGAAGCTCTTTCACGAACCCTCAAAAGTTACAGCGGCCTCAACCCTAGTTTTACACCGTTGCATCACTACGTCTGAAAATATACGCCAACCCTTTTAAAAAGTTCATAGACCACCCACAAAGGACGTCGTAGGGATGCGGGGAAACTAATACGGTTTTACGCCTGTAGTTGCAACAGAATGTGAGGTGACTTTATTTTAAGTAACCTGAGTCATCTGAACAGACTAATATTACCCGACAGTCAGAATGACAAACCTGGTAGTAAGCTGGAGAGAATCGCTCACCAAAGTGGAAACATATGTGAAAGCATACTTCTGTTTTCGGATATGCAGTCACTAGGAGGTACTGTAGCGTTACACACTTCTTCAGAATCAATAGTCAAGGGTTCGACGAGATTCAATATTGATGCTGATCTTCATAGTTTAACTGGACCCGCTAAGCTGAAAGCACCCGGTCAAGCACGCATGCCATTTGGCACGCTGTCGTGTTAGGTTGCACTGCTCGTAATCGACCCTCTAACCAGTTAGTTGGAACGTATCGGTATCTTGGCACGACCTCGCAAATATACTATTCCATCCGACTGAGCTATTGTGTTCTTTCTTGGTCTCATATTCATGGGTATATAACAAGTACGAATAACTAGTGATTGGCCTCTGAGTCTGTCAAGTTCGCACCAGGGCAATCCCTAAAAAACTACCCACTGGTAAAGTCACTAACACATTTGTTGGTAGTTTCAAA